GCTCCCGCCGGGCACGTCGTACCGCGCGGGCGACTACCTCGCCGTGCTGCCGCTCAACCCGCGCGCGAGCGTGGAGCGGGTATTGCGGCGCTTCGGCCTCGCGTGGGACGCGTGTCTGACCTTTTCGGGCGACAAGCACGCCGCGGCGGGGGCGCTGCCGGTGAACCAGACGCTCTCCGCGGTCGATGTGCTCAGCGCGTACGTCGAGCTCGCTCAGCCCGCGACGAAGCGCAACGTGGCGAGCCTGGCGGAGGCGGCGGCTGAGGGCTCCGCGGCAAGGAAGGAGTTGGAGGCGCTTGCGAGTGAGGAGCACTATCATGCTGAGGTCACGGTGAAGAGGGTGACGGTGCTGGAGCTCCTGGAGAGGTTTCCTGAGGTCGAGCTTGGGATTGGGACGTTTTTGGGGATGTTGCCGCCGATGCGCGTGAGGCAGTAGTAAGTTCTTTTATTCCAGTCTTTGGTTTCATCTTGAGGAGGTCATGATGCTGACAACGAATGAACAGCTCCATCTCGTCCTCGCCGCTACGGAACCCGACGCAGGCGACACTAACCTACTCCCTTCTCGACGCGCCCTCACTATCAGGCCAGGGCCGCCACGTCGGCGTCGCAACCCACTACCTCGCGGCGCTGAAGAAGGGCGACAAGCTACATGTCGCCGTGCGCCCGTCCCCCGCGGCGTTCCACCTCCCCGTGGAGCCTGAGAAGACGCCCATCGTGATGATCGCTGCGGGCTCCGGTCTCGCGCCGTTCCGCGGCTTCGTGCAGGAGCGCGCGGCGATGATCGCGGCCGGCCGGACTCTCGCGCCTGCGGTGCTCTTCTTCGGGTGCCGCCGGCCGGGCGCGGAGGACCTGTACCGCGAGGAGTTTGACCGCTGGGAGAAGATGGGGGCGGTGGGTGTGCGGAGGGCGTACTCGCGTGCGGTGGGGGAGAGCGAGGGGTGCAGGTATGTGCAGGACCGGGTGTGGCGGGAAAAGGAGGAGGTTGTGAAGTTATGGGCGAAGGGGGCTAAGGTGTTTGTGTGCGGGACGAGGAGTATGGGCAAGGCAGTTGAGGAGGCTTTGGTGAAGGTTCTCTTAGATGGCGGTGTTGAGGGGGCTGAGGGGATGGAATTTGAGGAGGGGAAGAAGTGGTTTGAGGGGATGAGGAATGTGAGGTACGCTGTTGATGTGTTTGATTAGATTGGCGGGCTGGTTTGGATTTGAGATACTCCCCTCAGCGTTGGATAGATCATGGTCTCACTTCATACTTGAATAGCATTGGCATATATTCTCTTATGTCGAGACAAGTCCAAGGGTTGTTTTCCGGCGATTGCCCGAATTGCCGTGACGTCCACAGCAAGACCAATTTACTTGAGCCGTATTTGCAGTGCTCTAGCAAGCGTTGGATCACAACAAGCACACGAATATATTGTAGACAACGGAAACCCCAGAATCCGAATCTGATCTTACGCGACGAGCCTTTCAATCGAATTTAGAGTGTTGCTGGCTGTCTAATCTCTCGGTAGTCCTCAGAGAACTAGACTACGGGAAGTCAGACGGGTTGGATGATACAGATTTGTGGTTTCGCAACTCCGCTTGTTCCGTTTAGCAGTCCTTCTATGCTCCCGAGCCATACTCAACATGGCACAGAATATAATCGTGCGTATCATTCAAATTCATATATGTAGTCAAGTGCCTCACATCGCCGAAGTGAGCTCCGCGAAAGGATCGGACGACTTGGAAATCGGTATTTAAAACGTGGCATAGCTACATGAGTTTTCATACGACACAAAATGCGGACAGGGCCAACGCGATTCGCAGAATCAAAGCTAAGAAATGCAAGCCTATCGTTCTTTGTCTTTCTCTTGGTAACTAGGTCACCGACGACATCGATGAACTAAGCAGCACCAAGCTCCTATGAGAGTATTCAAGCCCGAATCCATCGACGCCAGGCGAGACAGACGGCAGCGAATGAATGAAATCCAGCGCCATCAACCCCTGGGAGGATCTTTTCGTACCCCGTATGCTGAGAGATGTGATCCACTCGTCTCTGGGCGTTCCATGGCTGACGATGCTAACAAAGGCTCTGATTAACCAACCTCTCATGAGCGCTGACGTGCGGCAATACACAATTGGCCCAGCTCTTCAGACCAACCCTCTTTAGGTATTTTATTCTCCTTCGTCTTGATAGCGACAGAAACAGGGGAAAGAGTCCAGACATTTGGCAGCACTTGGTTTGATGGTGTGCTGTCCTAAACACGGGCCGAGTAAACCGCAGTCTTCCCATGGATAGCTCGAGAGCTTTTGAGCGGAAGAGACTCGAACTCCTGTAAGCGTATAAGCCCGAATACATCAAAGCTAGGCGATACAGACAGTGGTGCACGAAATTTAGCGTTACCAGCCCTTTGATGATACTTCCATGCTCCACGCGAGGGCTCGAAAAGACTTGGAATCGGTTGCTGGTCTACCGACTCGCCACCATAGCATTCGCCCAAGGGATATGCCGCCTTGGTGAAATAGTCTCTCGAGGGAAGTTTCCTGTTTATAAACCCCGGGCTCACCCATAGTCCCTGACCTAGAGTGAACTTGAGGGGACGCGCTCAAAAGGAGGCAGCAGTAGTAGTGAACTCCTTCGTTTGGTTCAAACAATCAAGAGTCCAGTCTGCAAGACTGATAGCAGAGCATGGAGAATCTTTGGACGATAGCAAGAAATTCCGAGACGCGAACCAGATGAACATCGTACATGAGTCCGAGTGTAGCTGACAGGCCGCATTTTGACATCGTCCTGCATTTATCTGCGAGAAGAATACTCAAGTGACAAAAGGTGTGAGAAAAGACAGTGTGAAGCCAACGACAAAAGCGCGATGGCTTCCTCTATTTCGGCAACAGAATGCCTGTATCTTCTTTAACTGGCACATGTTCGAGATGGGATCGAGACAAGTAGTCAAGTAGGACCACACTCTGGCTTCGAGTTGGGTGCTTTACTTGGCCTTCCGACCCGGTTTATATAGACTACGTAGAGCAAGAGCTCGCCTCATGTGAGGAAGGTGAACGCACATCTCGCACCCAAGATGCTGGCACACCCTGCTTAGGATGTCGGGCTCCGGTCCAGGCAACCGGCGCGCGGAGAGGCGGCCATGCACACGCCCAGTATAGCCCAAATGCTAGCTGAACACGATGATCATACTATCCAACCTGTAGAGACTCGGATGCCAATCTTGTTCGCCTTGGTCGCTTCTCAACTCACCCATCTTTAATGTACGCCGTCGCACGCATTGTTAGCGAATAGTTGTTCCAATCCATCGTTTGAACCGACTTGACAAGAGTTTAGAGGGGGATGGCTGAATAAGGTCGTATGATGTTTTAGGTATTTCCTGACGTGAAAGTAAGAACTTGTATGAAGACGACTCAGAGTCTCTAATAGGGTTGCTCTAGACGACTGCATGGCAAGATGAACGAAAGTCTGCAACTGGTCATCGTATGGCCTGGCGACACCCCTTATTTACCGATCCATATCTAGTGAACGATTATGAGCGGTCACTTAGGAACAAAGCATCGCTGTTTCCGCCTCATCTGTATGGAGTATGTACGCTGATCCAGTAAATATAGGAAGGAGGGAACGTTGAAAGTTCAGTCAGTCTTATCCTGCTGAATATCAACTCAAGTTTAGTAACTCATCAAGCCACCAAAGCATAGGTTTTAAAGTGTTTTAAAGATTTGAAAAATATTTCCCTGGCAGGAAAACCACAATTAAAGCATCAAATATCGTCAAAAAGCAAACAATTACCCCCGGGGGGGGGGGGGGGGGTGGAGATCGAATCCCGGACTCCCCGACTTCAATACCATTCACCTGTGTCCTCAACACATGCGTAATCACCCGTACCAGGCCTGATGAATGAAAAAACAGGCCGGATTTCGCCGTCGACGTCGGTGGTCGAACGGTTGTTCGTCTACCTTCTGAGGCTATCCGACCTTCCCAACGTAACATGTGGGCTTCCAATCATTCAAATTTGCTGTCTGCACTTGGGTCTGAAGCGTTGGGTCGTCGTTTTGCCATGTTGATATGGGTTTTTCCTTTTTCTTTTCTTGTTATAAAATTTTGCGGCTACAAACTAGCTGTTTTGCACCTTGACTCGCCGTCTGCCCCATCGCGCGAGACAGATTCTGATATAAAAGGAGACGATGCCCACCGAACTGATGGGGAACAACACAATGTCCACAACCACTAACAATAGATTGAACGCGCACGCAATTCGGGCGGTTTCCATGTCGCGTGTCTGTCCCCCGATGGTATTTGAAGGCACCATCCTTCTGCTTGACGCGTGGGCTCACCGAATCACCTCGACAAATACTAGAGGGCCGACAGAGAAAAGCCGGGATGATGGGAATGGTGCGCTCGTCATGCGTCTGTCCTAGGGGGTGAACCGAGAGTTACTATACGCTGCCGTACCAGCTCAAGATGGTTTGCAAATATACCGAACGGCAAAGTACGCCCCATTGTGCGGTTGACTTTGATTGATAATTCCATAACCTCTTGATTCATAGATTTCTCAGTTGGTGCCTCCACTCAGATGTACGACTTGCAAAAGCTCGGCCTTAGTATTTACAGACGTAATCCAACAGTACGGTGACTATTCTCAAGTCCGCGTAAGGCCGCTTCCATTCACCCAGTATTAGTCCCAACACATCGAGATGCCTCATCGTCATGCCGTAGTACACCAACAAGACATAGACAACGTTTCGAATTCATGCCGCAACAGAATGCTATGAAAATGAGAAAAGAAGTCTTTGTGTATACGCCTGTACACCGGAAAAGCCGTCGTCATGTCCATACAAGTACACATTACCAAGAAGAAGAAAACACATAAAAGGGGGGAATTTTGTCCTCTCAAAGCAACACCGTCGTCTGCCCGCCCCATCCATCCATCCATACATCCCATGCTGTCGTGTCTCTCTTCTGCAGTCGCAGCAAGAAGCGTTCGTCGTCTCGCTCATCAGCCGTACCCATCCATCCTCACCCCTCATCTCCTCTTCACGTTCCTCACCAAGAAGGCGCCCACGACACCGGCCGCGACAGCGACGCCGCTGATGATGGCGACGCCCATGAGGCCCTCCTTGGCGACCTTGTCGTCGACGAGCTGGCGCAGGTTCGAGGCCTGCAGGTTCGCGGGCTCCTTCTCGAGGAGGAGGTCGTTGTAGCGGCGGGCCTCGCCGTAGTTGCCGAGCTTGAAGTTGCCGAGGGCGAGGTAGTAGAGGCACTCGCGGCGACGCTCGGGGGAGACGCGGAAGATCTCGGAGAGGAGGCGGACGCCTAGTTGTTGGTCGTTGCGGTTGTCTGATTTTACGAGGCCCTGTGCGTTGGGGGAGGGGTTTGTTAGCTGTGATGTGTCTTGGGCGGGGAAGGGAAGTGAAGGAGAAGAGACGAGGGGCAGAGGGAGAGGGAGAGGCCATACCCATGCGTAGTTGAACTTGGTTTGCACGCCGACCATCTCGCCTTCCTTTTCATATTGGGCGCGGAGGACCTGGAGCTCGGATGCCTTGAGGGGCCTGCGGTGCGGTGAGTATTTTACGTTACGCCTGCGCGATGCGTCGCGGGGGAGGGGTGAGGGGTGCGAAGGCGACGTACGTTTCCGCGTCGAGGGCGTCTGTCGTCGTCAGTCACTGCTGCGCGGACCATCATGATGTGGAGGGAGGAGGGGTCCTCTACTTACAGGGTAGATCGACCATTTTTGCGTGATGTCGGGAGCTCTCTCTCTCACGGGAGGGGAGCTATGGACTTTTCGGAGGGGATCGTCAGGAAAAAGCTTCAAGCACGGCGCGGTCGCGTTTGTGCAGCTATCGTCTGAGGAGGGTTCGAGAAGCCGTTCGAGGGGTTGCACAAGGCGGTTTTGCAGATTTGGGCCTTTACGAGCGGAGGGCGGGTTGGTTGGGGTGGCTTGCGAATGGGAAATGGATGATGGCAAACCTGCTTCGGAATGAGGCGGAAGTGGCTGAAGCTCTGACATCTGAAGATTGCGTGGGGACCGCGGAGGGGATCATGTGTGGCGGCCAGGCGCTGGCGCTGGCACGCTGGACAGCAAACACACACAGCAAGCAGCAGCAGCTGATGACGACGGCCGACGGCGGGCGAATGGGATGGACGGGAACCGAAGGAGGGAGGGGTTTCGCTGGGGGGTGCTGGCTCGCTCTAGCACTGGCCACGGCACGCTCACTGAGGGGGACCACTGAAGGAATCAATCACAGGCCAGCAGCAGTCCGCGTACCCAACCTTAGTCAACCGATTGTCGTCCCGGTGATGTCGACCCGATAAGCGGGCTCCCGTCTTCTTTTTTGTTTAGGCTGTTTCCGCATTGGGCCGAGTGACAGACACCCACGCAAATCACATCCTTTCATCACTTAACGACCGACGACGCGACAACCCGCGACTTCAAGCAACCCCGACGTTACCTCTATCGCGAAAGACATCACCCACGAGGGAATACCGTCAAGATGCTTTTGGCAGAGGAGCCCGCGACGGTAGGCGCCCACACCACCACCGCCCAATTGCTACATGCGATGTACTGACTGATTTGGCGCGCACGCAGCTCATCCACCACACAATCGCAAACTTCAACATCCAACCCGATAAACAAGCCATCGCGCGCATCAATGACTCCTACTCCACGCTCCAGCAGGCCCGCGAGATGCGTCTCCGCGATGCCGAAAATGCCCTCAAGAGTACGTTCCTCTCGTCACAGTGCATTGCCATTCGCCGGTCAAAAGTGACCCAACTACTACTCCAGCCCTCAACGGCTTATCTATGGGAGACTCCCAAGACCACCGAACACCACCAACGTCAACTCCCGCTCCCGCCCCCACCGGCTTCCCTATGGGAGAGACCGAACATCACTCTCGAGCCTCATACTTTTCTCCCAATCTCAAGACGCTATTTCAAGACGCTGACCAAACCCAAACAGAACTCTCCCGCCAACTAAACACAATGTCCTCCCAACACGCCGAGCTCACCCAAGCGCACTCCTCCACCGCCCACGCCTCCGAGATCGCCCGCCTCGACACCACAAAGTTCCGCACCGCGAAGGCCGCCTCCGACGCCGAGATGGAGGCCGAGCGCCTCGCCCAGCAGGCCGCCGACCTCAACGCCCGCCTGCAGGAGCTCGAGATCCAGGGGCTCGACGGCTCCGCCGACGACCAGCAGCGCCGCCGCGACCCGGTCGACGACGAGGTCCTCCTGCGCCTCAAGGTCTACCGCTCCCTCGGCATCGAGATCGAGCGCGACACAAAGGACGGCGAGTTCAGCCGCGCCGTCGTGAGGAACGACCGCAAGGGGGATGTGCACGTCGTGAACCTGGACCCAAAGTTTTCAAAGTTCTTCTACGCCAACTACTTTTGGCAGACGTTGTGATTGATGGCTGGGGCAGACAGCGGGTGCGGTTCGAGTATTGCAATGACGGCGTTTGGGCGGAATTATGATAGGATACCAGGTCAGGAATTACCTTTTTATCGCAAATATATACAAATGATGCAAATATCAGGATGCATAGTTGTAATTGAACTTGTTTGATTTTCCGTTTGGACGAATGAGATGTGTGATGTGATACTGCCAGACGCCTGATGACTCCCATGAACCAACCCAAATTCCATTCCGTGGCTGGCCACGCCTAGCCGATCGTACCTTTGATTTCTTTAGCCCTTCCCCGTCATAAATTGATCCATTTCTACCTTCCCGTCCGCCCATCACCCCGTCTGCAGCCATCCAAGGCGCGACGTCCCATCCTGACATATGAAAGGTACAGTTAACTCTTACATCACCCGCTTTTAGGGTCTCTCTTTGTCATCATCGTTATTTTCGAAGGTGACCTCGTTGTATAAACCATTCTTGGTCTTTTGTTATCACTCATTAGTGGTTGTAGTAGTGATTGTAGTTAACGTGGTTCTCCCATTTTATGCCACCGCCACTTTCCTCACAGCCTTTGCTGATAAGCTTGGGAAGTAATCCCCGTCGGCGCCATCAAGCGCCGTAAACGCAATATGGGATGCGTTTGTTGGTGTCCTCGCGCGAGAGCTGTTTGGGGAGGTCATGGCATAACCTCCCCGATTGCTCTCCGGGCTCCTGTTGCGGCCTCCCTTCATCATAAGATAGCCGTCGCCACCGCCGGGCGTTGTGGGTCCGCCGCTGGGACTCCGGTGGTGGTGCCTTTGATACTGACGGTCAGGAAGCTCGAGACGCGAGTTGATTGTCGTCCACAATTCATCGTCGTTGCCGTTTCCTAGACGCCATCCACCGAGACCCTCGTAGTCCCGGTCAATACCAACTGAGGGGAAGAGACCGATCCCGCCGGACTCCGAGATAGGCGTAATCGTACCCACGGAATGCGCCGATGCCGAGGAAGGCCGGCGGGTACGACGTGAAGCCGAGCGTCGGGTTGGCGTTAATGAGGGAGAAGAACTGGCGGGTGACGGAGTCTTCGATGCGTAGGACAGGTACCGAGGGCGTCCAGTGATGTACGATGGTAGTAGAGATAGCGCAAGATCGAAGTAGACGAGAATGACTCGGAAGATAAGCACGGTGAAGGCGAGCGTCGTCGTAATCCCGGCGAATATGGCGAGCGGGACGGTAAACAGGAAGAGGAAGGGGACGATGATGGCGTACATGGGGTTGATGAGGGCCATGATTGCGGTCGTGGAGCGGACGAGGGGAAAGGCGCGTGTAAGGTGATGGCTCGGTGCGGACCTCATTCACCACATCGCCTCGAATCTCCCGGTGTACTGGTCGGAGTGTGGTTTATCTGTTCGGCGTAGCCAGTTGTGGAAACCGGTTGTGACCAGTATCTCCCAGTACCTGAATCGTATGATCCCCTCGCAGTCGTTCGGTCGGTGGTCCGATCGTTCGATACCGTTGTAATACCCCAACACCCACAGTCGATTTTCCCAATATCTCTCAAGATAGAGAAACAGGAACGTCCGAGGAAAAGGAAGGTGGTAACTGGACGGACAGCTGGCGACTTTGTACGATGGAATGGCTTGCAGCTGGGAGGAATGGGGGCACACAAAGTCAAAACCCGGACGGCATGGTGGTGGACGGGGGGAGGTATGCTGTAAGAGTATGGGATGAGACGGAGAGGAGCCGGGAGCGAACCTTCAAACCTTGAGGTTGGTTGGTGGCTTCCTAGCGAGTAACTGCAGCACGCAGCAGCAATACCAACAGTACATGAGCAGGAGCGGCTGCAGCATGGAAGGGGGGTCTGAACTGAACCACACCGGAGGGTAAGGTAGGGGTGGCAGTCTAGTCGTCGCGGGCACTTTGTTTGTCTCTTTCACATGCCGGGAGCTAGCGGCAAAGCCTAGCACCGCCCTTGTCCTCCATTCCCTTGTCCTGGTCTGTCTTGTCGGAGGGTTCGATGCAGTGTAACGCTATTTTAGTAGCCACGGAGGGAAAAAATGGAGAAGCCGAGCTTGCGCTATCAGAAGCTACAGGGTCCCGAGTAGGGACTACATCAGTTGCCAGTGGTTGGACTGATGATGGAATGGCCCTCTGCTTTGTTGTGAATGGCTGGCTCCCCCAGCGCAGCGGCGTTTTTCTGTGCGTTTTCTCGCGCTCAAGCTGAGGGACTTCAGAAAGTTTATGGTGGCCACATACGGGGGCTTCGGAAGGGCCAGTGAGTGGAAAAAGAATTTGCGATTCTCTTTTTTTTTTTTTGTGTTTCCAGGGCCTGTGTGCTCTCTTTCGTATTCGAAGGGTCGTCACTCTATGGAAACTTCAGGCCGTCCAATATTGCTGCTCAAATCAGAGTCTTGTCCCTGGGACGGGGGCCGGGGAAACAGAGTTTGCAGTTCCTGGACGCTGGCTCCCATGTGAAGACAGACGTGTTTCTGACCGACAGAAACGGCTGTGGGGGCAAGCGGGAAACAGAGTTTTCCGGGTGAATCAGCGACTTGACTTATGCGCCTTCGGACTGGAGAATCCTGAGCCTGAGGTCTTTTCTGCCAGCCAATGCTCATGTAATGCGACCGCCGCCCTGGCGTTGGTGGGAGAGTGACGAAAGACCAGAGCCCTGCGACCGGACTTGGGATGGGGGACGTTGGGTGTGGTGCAGTGTAGGCGTGCGTGTGCGAGCAAGCTTGTGCCGGCATGCCGCTATCAGATTCGCAATCGAGCTGCCGTTTTGGTATGAAGTGACGATGAATGCAATTGCGACAGTTGGCCGACAGAGATAAGAGACGACGACGGGTGGGTGCTCTCGGTGAGGTGAGGTCGAATCCCCGAAAGCGATCGCCCAACTTCTCCGCATCTCCAGACTCCAGACTCCAGATGTGCCAGGGCCAGGGTCAGCGTCGTATGGAGCGTCCGGGGAAAGGAGCAAGGGCGCAAACCCCCGAATAGAACACCCCGCAGATCCAGACCTGGGCGAAAGACAGAACTTCTGTGGTTCTCCAGTTAGATGCTCTCGCCGGCGAGCGAGGAGCATGGATGGAGCGGCGGCATATCACCACTCGGCGTCTTCATTGCGTGGAGGTAACGTTATGTGCGTGATGTGCGAGTGCTCTCAGTGGTCAGGACGGCTCTCAATGGACCAGGGTTGACGCTGTGCATTTTCTGGCAGTGGTGGGTGGCTGAGGAATGGACAAGATTGGGCCGATGTTCACAAAAGCAGTCAGACGCAGCGAAGATCCTTCGCAGGTGCGAAACGTTCAAGCTGCCGATGTTCTGAAGGCAAACGACGGCGATATCTGCCGTCTGCCGCCCCAGGACGGCCCCTGACGAGCAGGCGAGATCGTCTTGGTTTCCCCGCGACTCTGACATCGTAAGGGATGTCCAGAATCCAGTCAAGGCCTCGGGGCGATCCAAATTCCTGGGGTGCATATCGGGGTGTCTTGGTAGCTGAGTGCTGTGGGTGTCAGGTCGATAATCCGGGGAATTTTCCACTGGCGGTTGTCTGGGGGCTGTCAATGTGGGAACATCATGGTCCATGCCTCTTCAAGATGGCAGTCAACGCCAGATTGCGAAGGCAGACGCCACAGGTAGCGCAGACGAGCCGATCGTCAGAAGCGATTGCATCTTGCAGGCAAGCTTGGAACATTGAGCTATCGACGAACGGCGAGCGCAGGCCACGTAGAGGTCGAAGCACGACGATGCAACCGGGGAGTAACTCCCCTAGACGCAGCCCTAGCTTTGATAGATTGACAAGGCGAGATGAGACACTGGGCCTTTGGCGATGTCGAGGTGAGCCGTCGGATTGCATTAGAGGGCCCCGCCTGGCTTGGTCATCTTTACATTCCGCAGCCGTGATTCGCAAGCTTGGAGCTCTCTGGTGAGGACGCAGCCGTCGACGGGCGTCAAGGTGTTTGTCCATGTGTCCGTGTTGTGCATAAAGGGCAGAAAATCTGCAACGAAGCTATGCACTAAGCTAAACCGTCAGGACGTCTGCGAGCGGTTGCTGTGGTGTTGCTGGCTTTCGAGATGGGCTCAGAAGGACAATGGATCAGACAGCATGTCTTGGTGCTGCGTGGTGAGATGATGAGATCCGAGGTACGTCTAGCCTGGGTGGTGGTGGAAGGGCAATGCGATGGTAAGGCACCTTCAGTAGGCGAGGAAGAAGAAGCAGACGAGGAGGAGCAACAGGAGTGAGTCGCGGGCGGGAGAGACACGCAGCGACAACATGGCACCGGTAGCACTGGCGCCTTCCCAAAGTCCGGACGGGGCAGAGGGAAGGTGGGAAGCTGGGCTGGGCTGGGTGCCTGCCCTGAGGTGTTGGTGTCTTGTCTTACATTGCGTGCCTACCTCATGGAGCTCGACGCAGTAAGGGTCTCGAGTGTCTCTCTTTCCCGTTCCCCCGTATGCCCGTCCGTCCCTTCCTGCCTGCCCACCACAGGAGGCAGCCCTGGAGGAGGTAGGTGAGTGGGGAGATCGGAAGAGGTGCTTGGATCCTTCCAGACCACGTCCCCTTGACATCATTCCGCAGTGCCCCCACTAATTGCCCGTTTCACTCAATCTCGCAGCTGTCCGCACTCCGGCTGCCAGCCTACCACTGCCGCTGCCACTGCCACTGCTGCCTCCACTACTACGACCACGGCATCATCCATTCCCTCACCACCACCATCATCATCGCGCCTTGAGCAAGTGCGCAAAAGTCGACATCGAGATGCCCCACGGAAGGTAGTCACCTCACCTGCGTTGCATGTGGCAGCCTCCTTCTCATCCCGCCTATCCGTCAATGACCATCAAACAACCACCATTCATCTCTTTCATCATCGCCGTCTCGCCATTGTCCACATTGACGACCTTGACGTCGTTCGCAAACCGCATCCCTCGCACGCACATCCAGAGCGCCGTCGTATTCGCAAATACAAACCGCTCGACTTAGACCGTCCCAGCGTCGTCCGGTCCCTGCTTCCCACCGTCGCCCTACAGCTTCCAGCCATCCCGCTCTCGGCAACCGACTGGCACCGGGAATCCTTTGACGGATAGCTCCATCCTCAGCTCAGCTCTACGGCGAGGTACACCCAGCTTTACCGACGATTTACCGCAGTCTTCTTGTTGTCGCCCAGGGGCCTCTGCTATCCTACTGGCCCTTCACCTCGACGTTTGACCTTCGGCGATCCCCGTCTCCCGCTTCCCGCCTTCCCCGCCTACCGTAACCCGGCACAGTCTCTGATACCACCCGTCTTAGACGCATCGACCACCAAGGCTGCCCAGCATGTGTCTTCAACATGAGGATGGGCATCATAACCCCTCCACTGCCGTCACTTCTGCCTCGACTACGTCGGATCCTTTCCCCTGGGACCATGGAATCTACGATGCCCATTGCCACCCCACGGACACCATGTCGTCTATCGAGACGATACCCGGCATGCGCGTCGCTACGCTAACTGTCATGGCCACTCGCAGCCAGGACCAGTCCCTCGTCGCTGAGGTAGCAGCATCCCACGGTGTGCGCTCAAGGGACGAAATGTCTCAAGGCCATCTGATCCCCTCCTTTGGTTGGCATCCCTGGTTCTCCTACCAGCTGTTCGACGACACCGTGCCCGTGGCTGAGAGGACGTACCACGAGGGCCAGCCCGACGCAAAGAAGCGACACTACCAGGCCGTCCTAGCACCAGCCCCTGAGGACCCCAGCTTTATTGACGCCCTGCCCGCCCCGCGTTCATTGTCAGCCTTTTTAGCAGAGACTCGCGCTCGTCTGCAAGATCATCCCCTTGCTCTAGTCGGTGAGGTAGGTCTTGACAAGGCCTTCCGCCTGCCTGAAGGAACCACCAACGTCGGCCAGTCCTCCCGTGACCAGACCCTGACCCCGGGTGGTCGCGAGGGGCGTCGTTTGGCTCCTCAACGTGTCAAGATGCCCCACCAGATTGCCGTGCTGAAAGCTCAGCTGGCGCTCGCGGGCGAGCTAGGCCGACCCGTGAGTGTCCATGGCGTCCAGGCTCATGGTGTACTCCATGATACCCTTGCATCCCTTTGGAAGGGTCACGAGAAGGAGGTTATCACCCGGCGCCAGAAGAAGATGGTCGCCGAGGGAGCCGAGGACCCCTATTCCGAGGATGAGCTTGATGAAGATGACTACGGCAGGAAGCTCGTGCCGCCGAAGCCTTTCCCGCCGCGAATATGCCTCCATTCGTACTCTGGTTCGGCTGAGATGTTCAAGCAGTACACTAACCCAGCCATTCCCGCACGGATATATTTCTCCTTCTCCTCGGCCGTTAACCTAGGAACCAAGGCCAACGCCGACAGCATAGTGGAGGTCGTGAAGGCTTGTCCAGATGACGCTATTTTGGTTGAGAGCGACCTGCACGTCGCAGGTGAGGAGATGGAAGCCAGACTCGAGGAGATGTACCGCAAGGTATGCGAGATCAAGGGATGGACGCTCAAGGAGGGCGTCGCGCGCATAGGCAAGAATTACCGCCAGTTCATTTTTGGTTGAGGGTCTGGCCAATATGCGCTGGTGTTAATGAGGTCACGAGATATATGCTCACCGCCATGCGCGGTCATTCACGGTAGATGCTTACAGCGAAAGAATTAGAGCGGAAGAATTCCTCAACAAAATCAGCATTTCAGCATGAGCGTTCCGGTGAGCCATGAGCAATAGGATGTCTGCCGTGATTGTTTGTATGATGTACTTGACACAAACTGCCCTTTCCTCGATTTACATACATTAATCGACCCTCTCACAGATGGTGTGCTTCTTGAGACGCTAGGCCTTGAGATCTGACATGGCCATCAATTTCACAGTAGATCTACTCTAGCCCTTTCAACGGACCTTGAATCGAGGACAGAGATATTGAAATAGGAGGGGGCCACATGAAATCCATCTTCACACGATAACTGAGCAGATGAAGGTGAACATGTATAGTTTTGAGTACCATTGATCACCGTTGCTCAAATTACAATGAACAACTGCAACATGTGATTTCTACCTCCCCGTTGGAATTATACCATCCCTCTCCCGTGCATGACACTCATACCACGCAGTTAAAAAACAAGCTCAGAAAGCGAACGCCCATATATACGTAGAAAAATCAAGGACTCTCAGGAGTCTTTTAGATGGGGGGGGAAAAATGCCGGATATCTTTCTACTACACTTGAAAAAAAAAAACCCCCCCAAGCTCGATGACGTTACAAATAAAACAATACAACATATAGACACAACACAACGACCGCTGCTCAGTTCTTGGACGGGGGAGCCTCGCCGAGCACGTCGTCGATGCCCTCGGGCGCGGGGCCGTCGGAGACGCTGGGGGTGTAGTCGCTGGAGCCCGGGGTGTAGCTGCTGAAGCCGTCGGAGACGACGACCGCGGGGGCGGCCTCGTCGTAGGTGGGCAGGGCGTCGTCGACCATGTAGTCTGCGAAGGCGGCGGTGGGCGAGGGAGGGGTGTTGTTCATGTGTTGCTGTTGCTGGTGGTGGTGGGGTTGGAGGTGGTGCAGCTGGCGCTGTTGGGCCTGGTAGGCGAAGTGGTCCTGCTGCTGCTGCTGCTGCTGCTGCTGTTGTTGGGCAGCGAGGCGGGAGCGGGCTTCTTCGGCGGCGACCATTTCCGAGACGAGGGAGGCTGCGTTGCGGAACTCGACGATCTCCTGCGACATGGCGTTGTTGCCCCCGTCGGAGAAGTGTGAGGACGCGTTGCTGGCGGAGCGGTAGCGGGAGCTGCCGGACAGGAAGGCCTGCTTCTCCTCGTCCTCGGCGGCGGCAGCAGACGAAGCGGCGAAGACGCGGGACCAGAGGGCCGGGAGGGAGGCGGTGAAGGCGGCCTTGCGGGCCTCGCGGGCGTCGCGGCGGCGTTGGCGGCGGGCGCGGCGGTCGGCTTGCTTGCGGGAGGAGGTGGAGGCGAGGCGGGCGCGGAGGAGGAGGGCGATGCCGACGAGGAGGATCAGGATGGCCGCGATTTTGGCGGGGAAGGGGACGAAGCCGTGGGGCGGGGGAGGGGGACCGCCGTGGTGGTGCGGGCGGCGGTGGTGGTCGTGAGGGCCGAGGGGGTGTTCTTGGTCATCTGGCGGCGGGGGGCCGGGAGGGGGAGGTCCAGGGGGAGGAGGGCCCGGGGGAGGGGGAGGGCCGCCGTGGTGGCCGTCGAAAGGAGGAGGAGGCGGCGGGCCCGGGGGACCTCCGTGGTGGCCTTCAAAGTGAGGAGGAGGCGGGGGAGGGGGAGGCGGGCCGGGAGCGCCTCCGTGGTGACCGTGGTGAGGGGGCTCGCCGAAGGGAGGAGGAGGAGGCGGCGGCGGGGGGCCATGGCCGTGAGGAGGACCGCGAGGGGGCTCGTCAAAGTCGCCGTGGGGAGGGCCGTGGTGGGGAGGCTCGTCGAAGGGAGGGGGAGGGCCGTGGTGAGGCCACTCGCCCTCAGGGGGCGGGGGACCACAGGGGCAGAAGCCCGGGGGCGGCGGCGGCGGGGGAGCGGTGTGGTTTCCGTGGGTGTGGTTGCCGCCGGGGAAGGGGAAGGCGCCGCACATCGGGGGCGGGCCGCCGTGGTGGTGGCCGGGGCCGCGGTGACGACGGCCGCCGCCGAAGCCGTGGAAGCCGCCGCGGAAACCGCCGCCGACGCGGTGCATGAGGGTGTCGAGGACGCACTTGAGGGAGTCGCACTCGCGCAGGGCGTGGCGGTGGAGGCGGACGCCGTGCTCGTGGGCGAGGCGGGCCTCCTTCTCGTGGATGAGGTGCTTCAGGGCGTGGAGCTGGTGGCGCAGGCAGTCGAGCTCGTGGATCTCGGCCTCGACCTCGGGGGAGTGGTGAGGGTGGTGCTCCTTCTCGCCGTCATGACCGTGCGGCGGGTGAGGGCGGTCCTCGCCGTCGTGCTTGGGCGGGTGGTGGAAGTCGGCCTCGTTGTGGTTGCCGACGTGGTGATGAGGGGGCGGGGGGAAGGGGGGGTCCTCGAGGAGGCCGTCCTCGTCGTCGCCGGGGCGGGGCCTGTGGCCGTCCCACTCGGGGAGGGAGAGGGACGGAGGCTGAGGGCGGTCGGTAGAGACGCGGACGGGGCCGGCGACCTCGATGATGGAGGCCGGGGAGGTCTGGCGGAAGCGGGCGACGAAGGCGACGTCGGAGGCGAGGGAGCGGCCGGCGAGGGACTCGAGGTTGAAGCGGAGCAGCTGCTCGTCGCCGGCGCAGGTGGCGGTCCAGGAGGCGATGAAGGTGGAGCCGTCGTGGTCGCCGGCGAAGGTGCCGCGGCCGAGGGTGTGGCCGCCCTGGGAGAGGGGGTTGTCGTTTACCTTGATGTTGGGGTAGGCGCACGGGGAGGGGGCTTCGAGGACCTCCAGGTGAAGGGTCTGAAGCGTGTTAGTGAGGTTTTCCGTGATGAGTTGGAGAAGCGAGACTTACGTAAGGGGTGGAATGGTCCTCGTTGAAGCCCGGGGGAATGTCGAAGGTGACAAAGGTCGAGGGCGAAGCATCTAGTGACTGTTAGGATTCACTCTCATCAAGCATAATGACTGAGAAGAACTCACCCTTGACCTTCTCGTCGATCCGCGAAGGGGCGGCTCCGACCAGGGCCGGCGCGAGCAGGAGAGCTTGCGCCAGGCCGCGCATGATGGGCGACTTTGAAGCGGTGGATGAATTACAAGCGACCTCTTCTTGTGAAGTCCTCTAGTTTGCCCGTGGGGCGCGGGGGGATCGGGGGGCCTCGTATGTCGAGGAGCTCTCTGCCTAGAGAAACGGGGTCGCTCGTTGTTGTCGTCGGGGTTCAGGGGAGGTGAAAGGTTGAAGTCGGCCCCAGGAAGAAAACAAGAAAAGGCAGACAGGTGATGGTAGAATGGCTGCCTGGGATTTTGTTGGGCTTCCGGTATGTATGTATACGTATGTCGTCGGCTTGGTGGTGGTGTGGTGGTGCCCTTTTCGGGGTTGGCGAGGTCAGCCGGGCTTGTCTTATACCGGCTTGTTGATCGAGGGCTCGATAAGATAGATCCTCCACCCTTCACTCTCTTCAGAGCTATCAACCCAAACTCTCCAGAAACCGAAACGAAACAAATAAACGAATGAGGGTATTCACACTTTCCGAACCTGGCGTTGGTTTGAAAGTGGTCAACTGTCGGAAGGAGGAAAGAGTGAGAAGGAGGGGGGAGGAACGAGAAGAGAAGGGGTCGACTTGGATGGAACTCGACAAAAGAGGCTTGCCAGAGAAAGGGAAGGGGACTACGCGTCCATGGGGCACCAAACAGTTACACTGCCCTTGTCTTCCTTGCCCATCACCGGCAGCGCAGCGCCGGGCCGCGCAGTCAGTCGCAGCAGCAGCAGCAGTTCGTTCCATAGTACCTTACAGCAAAGCGAGTGAGTTGAGTGGCAGAGTGGCAGAAGTGGGCACATCAAGGACCGTCAGGGACATTGGGGCTGCGCAATCCTCGCGGCGTAGCTGGACCACCGCCGGCCAATGACCGCCGACGAGCTGACGAGTCCCTTCCGTCCCTTGGCCCGTGCGTCGCGGTACGTACACGCTGAATACCCACGGCACTCACGCGCTACTGGACCAACAAGGCCCTCTGTGGCAATGGAAACGGCCGCACGAGGTGCTAAGCACCGAAGCTGGGTGGAGCTGCACCGGGCTGGTGGGGTTGATGCGATGGAGCCACTGGACTCGGCCGACGCACTGGATTTTGGTATAGTGTAGTCTCGTTTCCTTTTTTTTCTCGCAGCATCTCAATCTGTTTCCCTGCCCTTGCGCGGGTGCTGTGAGGGAAAGGGAAGGCTTAGCGGCCGGGACCAAATGACACTCTCGAACACAACACTGCCAACCGGTGGGGTTCCATTCCCGGGACGTGGGGTGGCCGCGCTAGCGCTTCCGGGTCCGTCGAGTCCACTTTCCCACTTCACTCAGTGCTCTTCCCCAAGAGGCATCGCCAAATGGTCCAAAACAGGGAGATTGATAGAGTGCGAGAGGCGAGGCACCGCAGGGAAGCAAGGGACAGCCCGATGAATGATCCCGCTTGTTCGGCACTGTTGCCGCAGGCTCGGGCGGCTTTGGTCCTGTACTGCATCCATCGACATGCTGCTGCTGCAATGCTAACTCAGGTAAGCATGGGGATCCGTTAATTAGCCATAGCCAGAATGATAATTAGCTATAGTAGGTCCCACCCAACCTAATCTGACTAACCAGAGGCCAGGGATCCCAAAAGTTACACAACTTTGAGGCCTTCGATTTTTATTACAGTAATCAATATAACTCAATAAGATCTAGCATTTTTTAGATTTTTAATAAAAAGGTTAATAGGGACTATATTAACTATTAATCTAATATCTCTAGCGTTCTTTTAGTGCTACTAGTTACGCTAGTAGCTATTAATATATAAACTATATACTTTCTGCTATACCCCTTATAGCCCTCCCTCTTACTTTACCTCTTATTAATATACTTCTTACTAATAGTAGTAGTAGTAATAGTAATAATAGTAGTAGTAATAAGTTAATAGTATTTATATTACTTATTACTAATACTAATAAAGCTTACCTAGCTATATATATATAAAAAGTATCCTTAAAGTAATTAAGCTTCTTATTAATAGTATAGATCTTATATAGCTTAGCCTATACTATAGATTAGCTTCTACCCTTAGCTTTTATATTACCTCTTACTCTACTTCTACCTCTACTTCTACTTCTACTATATAGCTAACTCTTAGGTAGCTCTAAAGCTTTAAAGTAAGAAAAGTTATATTATATTAACTTAGTCTCTCTTATAGCTTAGCTAATATAATATTATAGCTAACTTAATATAGCTTTAGCTATTTTAGTTTATAATTTAGATTTAAATTAATATAGTACTATACTAAGGTCTTATTTAGCTAGTAGGGTTATAATATCTAGTATAAATAGCTATAGCTATTAGTTCCTATATAAATATACTCCTTAGAAAAACTTATAAAGTAATCTAAAAGATACTAATAGAGGTTTATATTATCTAAAATAAGGGTTCTACTTTAATAAAGCTAGCTAAATACTATATAGTAATAAGGTAAGCTATACTACTAAGTAAATAAGCTACTATAAACTAGTAGATCTTTCTCTTTACACTAAGTATCCTCTATAAATAAGTATTATTTATATATTAAGTTAAGCGCCTTAAAACTTACTTTTTTAACTAATAGTAATATTATAAACTTATTATATTTTAGGATAGTTTATATTAATATAGCTTTAGCTTTTTTAGTATATATATATTATCCTTTATTTTATCTTTTAAATCTAATTATAGAAGGTATTAAAGCTTATTAGTATATAATATAGCTACTATTTAAGGAGTATATAAGCCCCCTCTATATAAGAGGTAACTATAAAGCTATAGTTCTAATAATACTAAATAGTAAAACTAATAAACTCCTCTTTATAGGGAAAGTATATCTTAAAAATATAGTCTATAGTATGCTTCTATTTTAAGTAGTATTTATAGAAGGTACTCTAAGCCTTAAAAAAAGCATCTTTAGTAGGGGTATAAATATAAGCTTTTTATACTATAATTATACTATTATAGGAGAGGGGAAAGTTATTTTATAAAGTTATAAGCGTTATTTAGGTACTATAAGTAGGTAAATTTACTTCTACTATTATATTAGAGGTTAAAATACTTCTAAGAAAGTTAGCTATAATAAGGTTAAGTAGTCTAAATATAGTAGTATAATTAATATTATCCTTATGCTCCTACTATTTAGAAATAATATAATCTAAGTTAATTATACTAGAATTAATACTCTAAGTAGCCTCTTATTAATCTAACTTATTATTAAGCTTATATTACTTTATTTATATATAATAATTAATATTTTTTATAATATACTATATATAGATCTACTACTAAACACCTAAGTAAATAAGGCTAATAGTATACTTAAAAGCCTTATTAAGATTACTAAGAATAACTATAAAGTAGCATACTTAGCGTTTATAAGCTTAGTAAAATAGTATAGTAAGTAGCTACTTAAAGTTATCCTTAGCCTTACTACTAATAAGGCTAAAAGTAATATTAAACGTTATATAGAGGTAAGTAATACTAGTAATCTATAATAGGAGTATCTTAAACTTATTAGTCTTATAAGTATTATTAAATAAGAGGATATTAAGGTTCTTACGCTATAAATTAAGGCAGTTACTATAAACTTAAATTATATAATTAATATAGTTATTACTATTTTTACCTACTTTATAGAGAATCTTATAATTTATAGTATATAACTTTAAGGTTTTTAAAAAGTACTAAAAGGAGGAGAATAAGCTATACTTCTTAGCGTAGAAAGTAGCTTATATATTATATATATTAGCGTTAGTAATAAGGTAGGGTAAAGTATTATTATTAGCTTATTATAACTAATCTTTATAAATATTCTTATAGATCTAAGCAGTAATAAGTAAAGCTAAAGCTAATAATATCTTAATATGCTTAATAATACTAAGGTTACTAAGTTACTATTATTATTATATATATAGTAAAACCTTATAATACTTATTAATATTATTATAGTTATACTAACTATTAATTATAATAGTTTTATATTAGTTAAGAGCTTTATAATAGATAATCTTAGCGCACTATAAGTAGTTATACTTAACTAACTTACTAATATATTAATTAGTATATTACTTATATATAGAGGAAGTATAGCTATAGAGGATATTAATATATAAGATAGCGCTATTCTTATTATATACTTTATATTTATTAACTTTATAAATACGTTTTTTTTAGAAGTAATAACCTATCTCTAAGGCTAAGTTAAATAAGGTATTATAAGTATTATCAGCATTATCTATAAGAAGTAAGAGATCTTTAATATAATTAGTAGTCTTAGCGTTATAGTAATAAGAGGTACTTAACGTTATTAAAAAAGCAGTATAATAATAGAAGTAGTTAATTTAATATAAGCGTTAATATATATACTATAGTAGTTAAAAAAAAACATTATATTAATAAGAAAATCCTTTATCTATTATTAAATAAGCGCCTCTAGTTAGTCAGATTAGGTTAAGTGGGACCTACTATAGCTAATTATTATTCTGGCTATAGCTAATTAACAGATCCCATAAGCATGCACGCCTGACGGACGGCGACGCCGTTTCGGGTCGGGCTACCTTCTGCATAGATAAATGGCTCTCAATCCTCGGGAGGGCCATGTTCAATGTTGGTGGAGTCTCCATCATGCCCGCCTGTCGTCGTTTGTCACTCGCCCGTTGCCCCCGTCGTTCGTTCGCCCACCGCGGCTAGCGACTCACTTGCCGTCTCGAATTGCTCCTAGGAGGCCGTGGTGTGATGGGTGATGCGCGAGAGCGAAGAGGCAAGGGTGGCGATCCCGGATTGTGAGAAAAGGCTCATTAACCTATCATTAAGCAATACACTAGCTCCGTAAGAGGAGTCCGCCCCCCTTGGGAAGTTGTAGGTACTGCAGCAGAAGTGTACAATCGACAAACCCCGAGAGATTCGCGTCCCGGATGTGGGAATCGAACATGAAGTGGATGATGCACCGACCCGACTCCCACACAATGTAAACCAACTCCCGTCCCGTTAAGAAAAAGTAAACATCTCGCAAGATGACAGTCCCCGGCCGGTGACAGGTGAGAGAGCAAGAGATGAAAACCAGAAACCCTCCCATCCCCCCCAGCCAGCCAGCCTTCATCAGCAAACATCTTGCGCAATATCCGTACGTCGCCCACCTTCTCCACAGAAAACCACGGGATCTGCAAAACATCCACGACGACGTGTGAGCACTGGGCGCAAAAGGGGCCCCCCGCCCGCTTCACAGGAGGTCCTTCAACACCTGGACCCGCGCCCGAGCAACTTCGGACCCTTGATCCCCCTCGCCCATCAACTCCATGATTTGAATCATGCGCGCTGTGACCATCTTCACGTCAGCCTTCTTCGCCACATTATACACGCAAACCAAAAGACGCGTGGGTAGGTAGGCAGGTAGGTTTTTACTCACATATATCGGCCCTGGCCCTTACGAACAGCGGGTCCCGCTCCGCTGCCTCCACCGCCGCCGGGTCCTTGGCCGTCTCCCGGAGCACGCTGCCGATGCACAGCGCCTCGAGGAAGGCGCGGTGGTTGAAGACCCACCACACCCGGGCTTCCAGTTCGAAAATGTTGAAGAGCAGAAAGAAAGAGTTGATCGCCTCGTGCGCGGCTTCGAGCGTGCCGCGTACGTTTACGGGAACGTCCGGGGACTCGGAGGCGTGTACGAGCATGATGTTGTGGTGGTAGTTGCTCGTGAGGAACAGCGTCTGGCGGACGACGCGCTTATTGGTTCTTGCCAACGATGTGAGACTGTCCGAGTCCCAGGACCGGAAGACGTCGGGGAACGACCGGTACACGGCACGGAAATCGGCCACGAGTTTGGACTTGTGGCGGGCGGTGGTGCAGATGGGCATGTCGAGAGAGCGAGGTGAGCAGATTGTTTCTTGGACCAGGTTGGCCAGCGTCCATGATCCGCGTATGTAGGCGATGTCTGTCGGGTCGCTGGAGGCAATGGCCGAACCGTCGTCGAGAAGGTCTTCGACGGAGACGTCTGTGTGGGTTGCTGACGGGGGCAGGGAGAGGAGGACGGTTAGAAAGGTGTCCTGAAGAAGGACGGCTTGCCAGAGCTTGCGGCGCTGTTGTTTCTCAAAGATGCTAGCTTCGGGAGTGACTAGTAGCGTTTAGCAGGGCTCGATGCGTGACTTCAGGTACAACTTACCAATGTTAGGGTCACGATGCAGACCCATTGCGTAGGCCTGGCGTATGAGTATGCCTGCGAATGCCCACCCGTCAGAAGCATGGTTGTCGTTAATCAAGAAGTATGTCAATCTGGTCAAATTAGCATCACAGCCACAACATATCTTTGGGGTCTTGGCAAGAGACTTACAACACCATGGCCTGGATGGACCGTAATGAAGCAGCGCTCAGATAGGAGAACATCCGTAACGCCTGGTTGCTGGCCGACGCATAAAACTCGGCCGTTTGCTTCCCATCTCTCGGCGACGTGGACGTCACGAACTGCGTTCCCAGAGCCAGCATCACAAAGATAAGCCCAATAAAGGCAGCATCCACGCGGTTCTTCTCGTCATTGCCCAGACTCCAAAAGTGCTCATAGTCCGCGTAGAATGTCTGCCGGTGGATCATGGGGTAAACCGGGTCGACACACTCAAAATACTGGGCCAGCAGAATGTCTGCCTGGATCTTATCCGGCAGCACAGAGATGACCTCTGGCAAGCCCCCTTCACATGTCCAGTAGTTGGCGAAAGGGTGCTCGGAGCCGATGCCAAAGACGTTGCTGGCCGTCGGCAGAGAATACGGCACATTCGAGAGCAGCCCGGTTGATGACGAGAAGGCGATGGAACCAACGGAACCGCGGGAAGTGAAACCTCTGCCTTCAATGAGACCCCTGTCGGCGATGTTGGGTATCGTGTTGACGTCTGAAGGTTTCTTCTTTGGCGGTTTAGTCATTCGCCGGCCATTGGTGGCTGACCGTGTCGTTTCCCTGAGATGGTCAGTCTGGCAAGCCTCGACAAAGCCAAGGGGGCACTTACTCGAGCAGGTTCGCGACATGTGCATACTTGCATTCTGTCTGACGCTTGATGCATGCTAAGCAATGCGGCCTCCCTCGATCGCACTATCATGCGCGTCAGCGTTCCATGCCATGACTTGCATTCTGATTCACATGGGATCGGTGTGTAAACCCCATTTGGAAGCTGTCAAAAGCTCGTCTCGGGGATCTGAGAAGCCAACAAGGTTCGGGCAGCGTGCATGCCACGTGCGAGGCTCATGACTCTCTCGGCGCCCGCCTCCTGCAAATAGCAGCAGACAGGTTGACAGACGGCCGGGTCCAGACTTCGGGCCAGCGTCGGCGCGGCTGCGAGAGCCACGGTGGACCATGAAGCTCCGAGTGCGGGGGAGGGCAGGGGAAGCAAGCGCAAGGAGTGAAGCTCGGCTTGCTAAGCAACGAGGAAGGGAAGAGTCATGAACTCGTTGAATGCGCCGTGAGGCAGAGAGCCAATGCGTACATACCTTCGTTTTGCGCTCGACGCACTCGTGACATGACAGGGTTGGTTTGTTGCGTTTCTGCTTCTTCTTGGGCGGCTCGTCGGAGGCGTTCAGTTGTCCGTCCGGGCTGGCCGAGTTGCCGTCGACGCTGTCTTCTGTCTTGACGATGCCGTTGTAGGGGTAGGACTGGGAGGACGAGTGTGCAGCGATGGTTGACGAAGACAATGGCGTCCCGCCTGGGTGCAGAGCTCCGTTTGGTGTCGTCGCATTCGTTGTCGGCGGTGGCGGCAGGCGTCCGTGTTCTGAAGCCGGCGATGCGTAGATTGTCGAGGCCGAACTCGGCGTGTATGGTTGCTGCTGATGCTGCGGCGGGTGGTCCTGGGGAGCCATCGCGACAGCTCTGGCGATGGTGGTGATGGTGTTTTTGTGATTGCGGCAGCGGCGCCGAGCGGCAGTCAATCAATTGACGCCGATGACACCGAACCCTCCCGCGACACCGAGCCTGCTGTCAATTTCCCACCTCCGGCGCCGGTCGTCAAGTGCCAATTTCGCGATTGACGCTGCTCCAGTTTCCGCCGTCTGGGCACGCGGCGTCTGTGGTGCTGGTCCCCTTCCGGACGGGAGGTCTGCAATCCCCGGGGAAGCACCGGATCGGGGGATGCGCGCCAGCAGCAGCGCAGCGAGGATTGATGGGACGCTCAGGAAATTGGACGCTCGAATCCGGCGGCGCGCGCGAACGCGGATTGGATTGGCAAACGACAAGCAGTGGCCGTCCGCCGTGTGCCGTCCGGGAATAAGGATGAGGTGCGCTGCGGCAACGCAAAAGCTGGGCAAATTGCGGTGCGGCGCGGCGCAGTGTTCGCCGTCCGGAGGTCTTGGTCTTTTTGGGGGGCTGCTGCTGGGAATAAACAGGCGATTGCAGCAGCGAACGGGAACACAGCACGCAGCGTATGTAATGGTTGTCGCACACCACCAAGCCAATAAATTTTGGGGTCGCCGCGCGGGAATCTTTTGGGTGGGAAAAAGCGATGGGAATAAGGAGGGAAAAGAGAGACAGACGGGAGGGGGATTGGAAACATGAAAGAAAAAAAGAGGGGAAAAGAATTGGTGGAAGAGACCACACTGGAGTGAGTGACTGTGACTTGCTGCTGCTGCGGCAGCGGCAACCAACCCGTACCGTGCCTTGCCTTGCCTTGCCTTGCCTTGCCTCCTGCTCCTCTCCTCCTCCTCCTCCTCTTTGCTCCCTACCTACAAGAGGAGGAACAGGACAGGAGTCTCCCAACCTATTCCACATAGCGGCCGTACCCAGACGGAACGGAGCGCAACGCAACCTATGCAGCGCGGGCACCTCACATGGGAATCCACAAGTGACTGGGCAGAGACCACTCAGTCAAAGTCCCAAAATCTACCTGGTAACCAATCCAACCCACGCCGCAGCGAACTGAACTAGCCACGGATGGGACCAGGCTATGAGACGAACAAGGTCCAGGGAAAAATAGAGAGATCACGCCAACGGCCCAGCTGCTGCTCCTCTCTGCTAACGTAGTACAGATAGTCCAGCTACATGTCGTCCCCGCCTAGCCTCGACTAAAAGACCCTCGAGACGAGATCCAAAATCAGCCCTTCTTCAACAAGGTGCAGCCACTCAGCATCCAGCCCAACTCTCGTCAAAGCCGTGTCATCTCTCTCTTGAATCATCAACCAACGAGCAGACAAAACCCCCTCGAGTCATCAGTCATCCATGGCCGAAGGCAACTGCCGGCCGGTCAACGGCATGGCTGGATGGCTGGGGTTCCAATCTTGGTCCATCCCCCATTCTGCATAGGCGATCAGGAGCCGCTAATCGCAGTCGCCGCCTGGGGGGGCCAACGCCCGTCTCGTTCGACACGGGCAGGTATCGCCGTCAACGACCTGATTTTGTCCTGCTTTGCCTAGTCTTTCCTCCCGGGTGTGTAAGCTTGTATTCGTGCTAGAGCAGGCCTTGACAGACGTTGGCCGACCCCAGAGCTTGGCTTTCCGGGCGGTATGACTTGGCAAGCTTTAAACATGGTTCATTCATATCACAGGACAATTGGTTCGCTGTACAAGTCATGTTGGTTCGCGCCGTCCGCCGCGGCATGCTCCGCTGGCCTCTTTTAGCTCAACGCGCGCCGGAATGATGCTAGACACGTTCCCCTCAGCTGTTCAACTGCAATTCCTGAACATCATTGACCAGGCGATAATCTATGACCATCTATCCTAGCCCTACGCATATTACATGTTGCGTGTGCTTGTGCGAGCAGTAAGACCATAGCTCCCTCCTCGCTCTCGGTCTTGCCCCTCGAGCAGCAGTCAAGTCAGCAAGCAGTAAGCTAGGTAGGTTGCCTGCCGGAAAGCTTCGCCTTCCATCGCACCGGGGTCGCGCACTTCTACCCGCCCACATCGACGTCACTGATGCGACGGAATCTGTTCCCCGAACTCCAGTTCAAAGGGCCCCTCTGAGCACTCGCATCTTGCATCGTAACAATTTCTTCATCGCCTCCTGATCAAATCATGTTCCAGGCCAGCTCGGCTCCTCTCCCACAAGGCTCTGGGATCCTTTCCTAACGCCCCGTTCAAATATTTGTTGAGTCCTCTCCCTTCTCGGTCATTTGGCCGCCGGGTACGCTTCCCCGGCCGATATCGCCATGGGCCACCCCCTTGCTGGCCCACAAGTCAGCGATACGGGGCCTGCACTCTGCAGCCCACCGCCCACATCTGCAAGCAGGCACTCCATAGTCAGTCTCACGACAGATCTGTGCATAGAGCAATCCATCAGCGCCGATGGTTTAGTGGTAAAATTCTCCGTTGCCATCCAGCAGCGTCGGGGAGCCGGGGGTTCGATTCCCCCTCGGCGCAATTCTTTTTGTTTTTGACGACATCTATTGTTTCAATCTTGGTTTTTCTTCCCGGGCCGGCACAAAGATCGTTTTTGAATGTTTGAGATGCTGACACTAACACTGTGGCTTCCCCAGCTTGGCGAGATGCCAAACTTGGGCTGAGATTCCGGAAGATGACATCGAGCTTTCAGCGTCTACGTTCCATCTAATTATGTGTCGGATCAACGTGCATGCTGCTTACACGTGCGGCGACGCGCCGATGCCTCATTCACGAGTAACCGCCCACAATTTGTTCGTTCGACTTGGAAGACCTGTCAGCCGGGCCATACGATGCCCCGTTCCAGACCCTTATCCCTCTTACCACCGGGCTGCTTCGTCATTCATCAGGTCTGGTACGGGTAAATACGCATGTCTGTTGAGGATACAGGAGAATAGTATTGAAGTCGAGAGCAGGCTCCACTGCCACTGCCCGATCAGTTGAAACTAAAACTGCCTGTGCTGATGCTGCAAATCTGTGCTTGAGGGTTAAAGATAGTAAACGCCCTGAATAGTTACCGAATCGTAGTTATGAGATTTCAAGGAGTCCACCGCGTCCGTACATGCTGATCTGACTGTTGGATGTTGTTCATACCCAATCATTAGCTCGATCGTAACAAAACCCCCCATTGTTGAACGGCACCCAGGGGTAGATTCCAAGGATCATTGTTGCCCATTGCTTGAACAGTGGCGACCCAATGCAGACTGTTTGCAAACTTCCATACTGTTTCGCGCCTACTATCTACCGATCCTTCGTCCTCGTATGCCCAGAGCCATGTTTCATACATCGGCGCAACAAAGTACTTGCAGCGGCCTTCGTGGAAAATCATACGCTCTTCGTCCGCTTCGATCTTCAATATGGCTTCTAGTTGATCAGTGGTAGGTGCTAGATGTTCTCTCCGCAGACGACGATCCACGAGCCACAACGTCTTGCGGTTGCCACGGGCAGGAACGGTCCTACTGGTTTGTACCAGCATGTCGTATTCCTTCCAGCGCTCGACGCTCAGTTCAGGCTGGCCTCCCTCCCACTCTCGTTGATACTGCCTAAGTTCAGCGATGCTCCACGACGGATCGAATTCCAGGGCGATGTGGCACATGCCTCCGAAACCAAGTTTCCAGGAGGCGAAGGGAAGTTGTTTGCTCAGATCCCAGATTCTCTGCCGAAGCGACGTCAGGTGTATGAAGATAAGGTCCGTGGCGGGAAGGACGGTGAAGAATTGGCTCTTCCCCCCGTGGTTCATTTCGAATGTAGCGGGCATGTCGTGATATGTGCTACTGAGGTGAACGACGCTTCGATCGGGTTCGCGATTTGGGCTGTACTTTTTCTTTTGAACCTCGTAAAAGTCGGTCCACTCATCAGGCCTGTACCGACGAAACATCGCTGCTCTCGACTCCCTGCAAGCAGTCCAGAGCCCGCTGTCGATGGTGTATGTTGAGTTGTTGCTGTAGGGGCTTCCTGTCGTGCTGTCTATCGTCGATGGAGCTCCCACGACTTCCATTTGGCTCGTCTCTATTATCGGTGCGATGTGTCCGTCGAAGTCTGCAGGAACACCGTAGCAAGGGAAGATTGAAAAGTGTTGCACTCCGCGGATGCCGTGAGGACGGGTTGCAAAGTCCCATATCATTGTTCGGATCTCTGGATAGAGATCACCAAACGAAGAAAATTTCTGTGTAGCCATAGTTGTTCATAAATAGTGGTGTCTTCCGAAGTAATACGGTCGTGTCGAGAATCAGACATATGAATGGAGGAATGCAGACGAGAGCGAGGGGTAGAAATTTGCAGCTTTTTGATGCTATGGTTAGATGACGGTCAAGCTTTTTCGCAGGTAGGTGTATTGGATTTGTAAAGCCTAAGAAGTTAATCAGGTGCTTAGGAGAAATGAATCTTGCTGATGGAACAAAACTTTAGATGGGAATAGCAAGGTGCTCGTAATGGTTGTGAGGGTGAAAAGGTTGTTTGATGGATTGTGGACCTGTGAGGTTAGAATCAACTCAAGTAATCCTCATCACCATGGTGAGGTTTTACGGAGGTTTTGCGCATGATAGGGTCATTGCATCTAATGGTTACCATAAACTCACTCACAAAAAACGCTCTCATGTTCAATTGAAGTGGTATTGTTCTAGGTGATGCATTTCTTATTCTTAGAGCGGGACAGCAAATGTGGTCAACAACAGACGGTCTCAAGATTTATGTATGAAAACGATTCATAGACTGAGACTTTTACGCTGGGAAGTGGACGTGCGATGGAACATAGATCTTATGAGACATAAAAGCAGAGGATCAACACATAAGATAACAACTTTAGGGCGAGCCCAATCGATGGGGTGCTCGCGGTATTCGCTGAAAAGGCAGTCTGATGGAAGACCTCTCAACACGAGTATTGTTATGCATTAGTAGAAGAAGGAGTTTAATAACATCCTACACCAGCGTCGTGAGGCTTCCGTCGTCGTCGTTTATTGTCGCATTTATTGCAGAAGTATTCCGTCTGAAAGTAACATTCGTGAGTAAGTTAGTTCAGCTCTTAGCCTCTTAGAAGTCGTCTTCTGTTTTTCACCACTGTCCCTCACAAACAGAAGCTAATTAACCCAACCACAACTGAGAAGCATATCTGTGGCCCGAGCCGATTTCGTAATCCCTGCTTGACCTCCCGCAATCATTGCTTTGACCAGCCACTATTCCAGCATTACTGCATTTATAAATGCCGCCGGAGCTTGCTCTTTACTGATTAAGTGGCCAACCAAGACCTATATAAATTTCACCACTTCAGTCAACATTCAAGAATGAAAGCTGCCAAGTTGATGGGATGCAGGACGCCTGTTCCTAAAGTTATGTGATGGCTTGATTTGTGCCTGTGATTGATTGGGATAAACATCACATTGCGACATGCAACCAATCACTCGCGCGAGCTTTCTTTTTTAGTCTGTATGGTCCGTTATGTCTGGTATCCGTTTATTCATTCCGGCACTACACATATGATCGACATCACTCTAATCTGCGCAGGTGCCTGGGCACATTCAACGCCTTCAACGGAACATTTCGCTGCCCGATGTGTAGCAGCGTGCTTCTCGCCTACAGACATCCAATGTTAAGGGTTCCATGACCATCATCTTCAGTACTCAAAATAGCATAAAAGGACGAGCATCGAGATTCTACCCATCAAAGCGTAAGACCGATCTGATCTTCTCTCGGCCCTCAAACAGTTTTTGGGAAAGAAAAAAAATGTTTTCTGCCCGTCGATATACCGCTTAACCCTAGTTGAAACTCGATTAACAGATCAGCTGGCTGGGATGCTGTCGTCTCTGTCCAAGTCTATGGCCGGTGTATTGTGAAGCAACAACTCCTGGGCTACTAACGCTGTGGCCGAACCCAGGGTCAGAACACGGTGTCATGCTACCAACATAGTCAAACAAATAGGTCAGCATCAAAGAGACCGCTATAACTAGGGGTAAACCCCAGGGCAACAATTATGAGAATCATGGAAACTTGTCTTGAACTTTGCTTTTTGTATCTCTTCAGACTCTCTTGCAAAGTTTTCATTGTAACTGCATGAAAGTTCGAATTATTCAAAGAGTTAAGATTTGCGTCAGAATATGACCAGTCGACATACATCCGCTCGACAGTACGGGTACTTGGGCGATGTTTCCGGCAACAGGCAACAGGGACTCAAGATGTGTCTATCTCACTGTCCCGTAAAATTGCTCCCACACAGCCGTCTTCGTCCGCCATGGCTGTAAATGGGATACGCAGTGAATAACCAAGATGAAAAATTCTCAGGGGGATCAAGCTGCTCGTAATAATCACCTAAAGGTAGCTGGTATAACCTCAGAAACTGTCGAGCTCGAGGAGCTGTGGATTTCAGATCAGGCCAAAGCCCTTCGCAATTGTCTGGTTTGCTTCTTTCTATTTCATTTTCATTTATATGTAGGTACCAAAAGATAGAGAATAGGTTGTGCCGTATCCATGAAAGGTCTTCAACCCACTCATATAAAACCTAGAATACTGGGACTCGTAGAAAGGCCGCACAAAATTCGAGCTGGGACTCCAGATCATTAAGAGGGATCAGAGTGATGTCAAGAACGCCATGGTCGAACGACGCACATACCTCTTCAGCTCTGCCGATGATCTTCTTTTGACTAATATCTGCGGGGCAACACTTCTTTCTCGACTTTATTCATAAGAATAACATGCCGGCAGTGAAGGGTTAGAACGAAATGTTGAAGGCTTACTTGAGTTGCAGTCATCTGATCACCCCTACCACCAGTCAATACCACACAATATCAAAAAGCAGCGGGCACAGAGGCAATGAATCGCCGCACAGTCATATTCACACTCTGTTGGCTCTTCTACATATCCAGAAATACCAAGAACCCATTTATATATGCAACAAGACACAATATGAGATTGGCAAAGTTCCGCTCACGGTGTTCAAGCATGATCACCCCCTATTCGGTGTCTGAATGAGGACTGGCCGACCTCGCTCGTTGAAGCAGATATAAATGCCGACATCGTCTTCATAGAGTGAGCATGGAGGCCTTGAAGGCCGAGAAAATGAGGAGGTTTGCTGATTGTCGTGTTGAATTTTGGAAATATGTCTTGAGTTCCCTAGTGTTCTCAATCAAAAGCACTCGCCGGGCATCACAATCAACCCAGATCTACGTTATCTATCGTTCAGAATCGCCGGCTTCGTATTGGTATCAAGAATACGCAATGCCGTAGGCAGTTCCCAGCATCTTGCTCAGATCATAGTACACCGTCTCCACAGGAGAGGCTGTGAGTAGCAATACCGTGACTGAAGTCGACTGCTTCCAATAAACATATTCCCGGAAGCTCACGCATTGGTTCTGGTTTGTAAGAGAAAAATTCAACCCCTTTTGATCTCGCATATTGGTACAATGCCTCCCCTTTCTGCTAATTCCAGATCAGACAAGAACGCAACAGGTCTGGGTATCTCTATTCCCTGCTCCAAGCCATACATGTATACTAAACCAGGAGACTCGGAACATGCGGAAGAAACTACCCAGGGAGTGAGTATAAATAAGACAGCCAAAGGCAGTCATTTCAGGAATTGACAATAAAGCATTTTGACAGCGAAGTCTGATCAAAGGCCATCATGACCAGCTGAGAGATGTTAAAAAGAACCTCAGACCGTTTCATCATCTTATGAACGAACGGCGAGATGACGCTGGAGCGTGGATAACGACTCCACAATACCAACGCCATCTTCAGTCATCCTCGTCGTTGGGGTATCATCAGATAATACACGAAGGAAGCAGACCGTGACGTGTTGCGAGAAAACCTCGTATCAAACCATAGACAAGACGCGATGGAAGAGCGTAAGCTCACCCATGGGCTTGCTTAACGTCGCCAACTTTCTCCCTGCGATGGAGTATTTCAAATTTGCGTCTCAGTTGATTGCAAAGTCACTCAAGCCTGCCGGTTTAATACTACGGGAGCAAGCCGTCTGGGCTTAGGGTAGGCCTGTCCCTCAACACCATTATTCTACGAGATAACGCCTTGTACCGTACGTCTCTGCCGAACAACGATCACGCAATCATACCATCTGACCTCCTCTCAAAGGAAGAGCACCAAGAGACGTGAGTTACGACGCAAGAGGGAAGCTACGTTAACGAGCCGACGCCGCCATCCTGCATCTTGTTCGCGCACTGCCGTGTATAAAACAAGCACCATCGCCTCACACTAGATTTGAACCAACCAAATCACATGCCACATATGTCTCTCTGAATAGCCTTGCGGAGTTCCCAATTCTCATTGTGAGCTTAGATTCCCCGCAAAAGCTACCTTGCAGACATCACCACCAAAAAGTACCTCCTTCGCCGCCATGTCAGCCGCTCTTCACCGTCCATAGGATACTCAGACCAGAATACAACCGCGACAAAAATGCTGAAGAGAGCCACTTACATACCACTCCTCGTCGACTTGCTTCTATGTACTCGCTCGCTGTCACCATGGGTTGTAGCTATGCCCGATACAATCGCATAAGGCCTTTGTGGCAGTCGCCCGATTTGCCAAGACTTTGCAAAAAATCGAATTGGCGTGGAACAGCAGAAAGCCAGCCAGCCGGCCACCCATATTATACGAACCAATACCTTGATCCTTCTTCCGAAGAGGGCCTCTGGAGCTGACCGGACCAGCAAGCGCGCTAAATTCAGAAAGTGGTCATGGGGTAGTGGGATGTATTTCCCGTTTTGAGGAACCGGCTGGCGGTGTTGCAATATTTCCGTGTGGGTTACCTGTGACCTAATCTGGTGTTGTGACGCTTTCTGACAACACCTCATGGAACATGTAAAGCAGACTGACGGGCTTGCTACCATGCCGCATTTGATGAGCAAATTAAACTCAAGGCTAGGACGCCGTACATGCCACCCACATTTTCTCCCACTGATGAGGGTGACTACGGAGCCTCATGACCATCACATGCGAAAAGAGATAGCCCGTGATCATTCCAAATGCCCTTGCTTTGTGGTGGGCTATGATCTACCAATACATGTCCAGGGCGACAATCAAGCGTCGCCCCGGAATATGACCCTCGTTAGGAGAAAATGGGGAAAACGACCCATGCTAAACGCCGGCAATCCATTTCGTCATTCATAATCTGCCGCCGGCCGGTCCACCCTGCCTGGCATGGTTTTGTCCATGCCCATTATCACTTTTCACTCATCCAACCCTTGTGGCAACCATGCCTCCCTTCACTGGGCCCTGCGCCTGTCTCTCGAGTTGTCTCCCGAACCACTCGAGCCACCTCCCCGAGAAAAGGTGTTTCTCAACCAGTTCAAGGGTCCGTGACTGGATCCGCCATCTTGATTGTTGTTATCTTGATTTCTGTCCCAGTTTCCTGACGACGGGCTTCTGTGTCTAGCTCTGAATGAGTCAGATTGGTGCCGACGTAGGCTAGGAGGCGAGTGAGAATCCCGGCGAGACCGGAAGCTAGACATTCGGCTTGTCTCCTGAGGGCGCTGGGGATTGATGTCTCGGCCTGTGCTAAAGCCATAGAGAGGGGCAGGAACATCCCAATCGGTAGCCGCGGATCGGTCCGGACGCGTCGAGTCCGCCGGTACTGGAGGTGGACCGAGTCCACCGAAGAAGACTGGACGGCTGCCAAAAGACTGCGCTCCCCAGTGGCCGGGGATCCCAGGAGGCGCATCATCCCAGTATGCAGGGTTCTGGTTGCTGCCAGATGAACCTGGGGCAGCATCAGGAGAGCGCTGGGAAGCGTTGTTTCCGCTGTTATTAGCATTGCTCGCACTACCGCTGGTATTGTTGCTGCTCGACTCCTCAATGGGCGTGCGGCAGATCGGGCAGGTGTTGTGCTCCTTCAACCACATCACGACGCACTGATCGTGAAACCAGTGCTTGCAGGGCAAAACTGTCGCATCATCACCGAGGCTGAAGTCGTCGATGCAGATTGTGCACTCAGCCTTGCCCTCTGGTCCCAGCATCTTCTCGTCGACCTTCTTGCGCTCCAGCTTGCTGAGAGCGTCCTCGGTAGCCGGAGGTGCCGCGTTCGACTGAGGGTTTTGCTCCATCAAGGTGGATATTATCCGATCCAAGGCCTCCTGAGTATACACAGCATCTCCATGGCTAGCGTTCGCCGGGTTGAGCATGTTGAGAATCTCATGGAGAAGTGTGGGCGCTCCACCAGCCGCACGCTGTCCTTGGCCAGGGCTGGGAGGTCCGCCCGGGGTCGGGGGTCCTGCTCCTGCCAGAACACTGCTGAAGATACTGGGAAGCTGATTAGCATTGGATCTGATGGATATCATGGTGACTCGAGGTCCATTGGTGGGGTGGCCACGGGGATTTTGGCGAACATACGATTGGAAGGGGTCGGCTCCAGGCCCGACGGGGGATCGGTTGCCGCCTTGATGGATATGGATCGGTCCAGTAGCGATCGTGAAGCTTGTAGTTCCTCCACGGCCTTCTCTGTAATAGGTGCGCACATTGCCTGGGCCTCCAAATAGACCACCGCCAAATCCAGGGGGCGGCCGGGTCTCGTCTGGCGGCGGGCGAGGAGGCATGCCCATACCAAACTCATTGACCATATCAATGAAGCGCCTGATAATCTGGTCGCCATCGGCCGGGTCCGTCGGTTGCCGAGCGTTGGGGGAAGCACCCTGTCCAGGTCTCTGGTTGTCCCATATCGTGCGATGGAGAACAAAGCCACTGGGTCCTCGGTGTAGATGCTCCTCTATGTCGGCCTCTTCTGGGTCAGAGTCGTCGTCCAACGGATGTCTGTGGCGATTAGAGGGTGAATCATGGAGCGGAGGGCCATCCTCTATGAGTCTGGGGTCGTTGTCCGGCGAAACCTGTGCATTCGTTAGATCTTGCCTCCTCGGGACCGTAGGTAATTTAATTTCACGTACAATTTCCGTTATCTCGCTGTCGCAGCGAGGACACTGCAAACCATGCTCGTCTTGCCACCACTCGTTGGAGCAGGCATGACAATATACAGCTTCCCGACCGGCCGTGGCATCCAGGTGACCGCCTCTCGTGGCGTGCGAATCCATTTCAGCCTGGTTGCGCTGGTAGGCTGCTAGGGCGGTAAGTCCAAGGCCCACAGCGAGGCCGGCGGCTCGGAGTGCTCTGAACGCCAGGCTGGATGATGTGGAAGGTCGAAGTTTGGGTAAGGCAGTTGGGAGGGGCAGTATTTCCTTCGGAGGGCGCGTAAGCTATTGGCGAGGACTGCCGAATGCTCTCGTGGTATCAGATAAAATGAGAGCCCAGTGAATGAATGTCGGGAGGCAAATTTCGAAGCAAGTACGGCCTTCGAGAGGAGGTCGCTGTGCTTGTGATGTAGGAAACAGGCTCGCGACGTCAGCCGAATCGAGGTTCAGGTCGTTATCGGCGGAGAGCGGGAGAGCACGACGGCAGTATGGTGGCACGGAACTGTAGGTCGGATCGGTGGAGGCGGAAATGTGGATATGTCGAGCCTGAGTGCAGCAATGTCAGAGTCGGCCTTATGCTTCAAAACGGGAGGCGCAGCCAATGAGGTAGAAACCAAGATTCGCCCCAGAAGCTCGTCTTCGGCATCTATCTCCTCTTCCCTACTCCAAGACGGGCTTGCGCAATGGAGGTGTGTTGGGATGTGGTGGTAAGGCGTAGGGGTGGTGGGCGGGACGTACCTAAGCTAAGCCATGTACAGTGAGCGGAGCTTGGAGAGGAGCATTTCTCCAACAGAAAGCAACAGCAAAGGGCGATGATCGCAGCGCGGAGTAGCTGTAGGTTATTTAGAGAGCGAGAGCGAGACGAAGTGGTAGACGCCTATTTTGCTTCGGGAGGCGAGGGTGAGTCGTAGGAAGTTTGTTCCAAACGGAAGCAAATGAGCAAGGAAAAAAAAAAGAGGGAGAAAAAAACCAGGGTCGCTTTCACGTTTGATGCGTTGGTCCTCCGTTGGTCTTTACTCTTGAGAGCAAAGAGGAAATGGAAGGCACGGGCGGTCGGTAAGTGTAAGTAAGGCAGGGTCGAGGTACCACTCTCTGACGTGACGTTTATGGTGGGGGATGCATCATTCATCGGGCGGTGGTCAGGGTAGAGCTGCTTGCCAGCATGCCCAGGTAGGTACATCCGCACCTACCACGGTCGGTTACTAATCCCGCCGCGGACCAGATGCATTGAATGTTGGCCCCCACTTTGGACCAGCTCTCTCCCCTTCCACCGGCTTCGGTGTGGCGGTGCGTGCCTAGTGCCACCATGTCACGCCATGCGATTCCCGTGTGTTACCTCAACCTCAGCAAGTGATTCACTTAGTCTTGGCTATCTTAGAGTTTGATTTCTTCAGCCATCATGTGTCTGAGGTATGGACACATCTCAAAGGCGCTTTAGTTTGGAGTGGCGAGCTGGCAAACATTCCTGATGTGTCCTCGCGCTGCTTCAATCTGGCCGTTTTGATAAATCGTTGAGGCCAAGTGTATCCGGAAAAATATGTTCAGAAATCGTAGCTAAAGTTTCGTACATGTTCGTCTCTTACAGTCCTTCCGTCCCGGCCCAAGACCCTCATTTAGTCCAGGCCAGGAAGCCAACCGTTACTAGTCAAGGAGCTCAGGTTATCAAAGTTCGTAGCGTTGGTCGTGTCCTCTGGTGACTGCCGCGGCGGAATCCCACTGTTGCTGTCCGTGAACAGAAACATCTGGTCGTTTGTCGGCATGGACCCTGGCATATTCCACGCCTCAAAGTTCTGATGCCACTTGGCGCCGTCGTTGAGAAACCAATCTTGGTCGAGCCCCTGGAATACCTGGCCCGTCGAGACTCTTGGTGCCGAACCGCCTGCTTGTGAGGTACTCATGCTGCCTCCTTGTGCGCTAGTCATTGGTGGGAAGCGTTGTGGTTGTTGCTGCTGGTACATAGACTGGGCAAGGCCGGTCGGAAGCCCACTACCACCGAGAGACTCTGAAGTCATACTCATGCTGGGCCCGTTGTCGGCAGGACGTGACCTTGCTGGAGGCCCCGCGCCGCTAATCTGTGCCAAGGACGCGCTTCCCATAATGATATCGCTGGGAGAAAGGTCTGCTTGGCTCACTGCGGGTAGGTTATACTGAGTGATTGGGCTGAATGACTCTGGTTCCGTGGTCGTCGGGACGTGTGATGCTGGTTGCTGTGACGGTGAAGCGGTGGTATTGGATCGTGGTGTTGGCACATCGGAGGTGTTGAAGTGGCCGTACTTCTCATCGGTCCGTTGCAGAACAACGGAAGCTTCCTCAGGCAGCTCAACATTCCACTTGCGCGCTAGAACGCTGATGATGCTCAAAGTCCGCCGGGCGCATGGCCAGTCCTCGGCAATCTCCTCGAGGTGTTTTACGCCGTGGATGATGTCTCTTTTGGCGGTCTTCTCGGGCAGGTTGAGCAGGTGGATTGTACAGGCGCTGTGGATCATGTAAACGGCAATGTTACAGATCTGGCGTAGGTTCCATGACTTCTTGTACAGCCTCATCAGCTTTGACATGGCGCCAGCGTTGGCGGTGCATATCCTCCTGGGCGAGACGTGCGACGGAAGCGGGGACGCTGCTGGCGTATACTTCAAGAAGGGCCTGAAGAGGTGGATATATTGGAGATGGAAGAACATGCTGTTGACAGTTAGAAAAGGGAACGGCGGCTCGATAATAACATCGCAAGACTTACTGGAGAAGGATCACGTGTGGCATTTGCCCTTCCCTTGGCTCCAGCTCTTGAGGCAGTTCCTTGCGCCAATCCTCGAGCCTCCGATGCAGCTCGCTCAACTTCTTCAGCTCCACAGCCTTGCCGCTTGACCGGCCAATATGGTTAGGGTGGTAAAAGAACAATAGCAAGTCGCTGCTGATCTCACAAAGTGTTGAGAACTGCAACCCTACCGCGCGCGTCCTCGATGGCTGCCTGTTGGTATGGTCGGATCCTGCGTCCGTATAGGGGGACCAAAGTTCAGCGTCCTCGTTGGGGAAGACATCGTACTTGGGTACGTTGTATGAGTTTTTGGGTATCTGTGGCAGCCGCCCAAGATAGTTGGACCATGCCTTGTCAAACAAGAAACAACCCCAGAAGGTCACCCTCCTGGCGTCCACCCCTTGTTCGCCGAGATTCTTCTTGTCCGTTGATGTGCCGCCATCATCATAGTTCAAGCCGAGATCCTGGGCCATTCGGAAGGCCATGCCGGAGTACACCCATCCCTTGGCCTCTCGCCCGCACCCGGCTTCCCGAACGGACATGAGGGCCAATGCCTGAACGGTGGTGAGCTTCGGACGTTCGTACTCGTCATTCTCGACGATAAGTCGTTTTGCCTCGGCGAAGAAATGGTCTCCTTTTGTGCGGCTGTCGCCCGGTGTTCCGCAGGCGCCAGGCACGCTGGTGAAGTGACTTCCGAGAGCCAAGATAGCGTTGACAAGTAATGGCGAGCAATAAACAGTGTTGGAGTGGTTTACCCCGTGCTTGCCCTTGAAGAGGTCCTGGTAAAATAACGTTTTGGACATTGTCGTAAAGTAAGTGTAGTGATAGTTGAAGTACATGTTCAGTAGATGGGCGATGAGTTCCTTATCCTTCGTCACCCTTGTCCAACTGGTGACGGGATCTTCGTTAGCCGAGTTTGTGTCCGACTCGGGTTCGTTGGAGCTGGCTTCACCCAAGTCAACGTAGATGAGGTTGGAGGTGCCTCCGATGAAGCGCACTGAGCCGTTTTCTAGGCGTAGCTCGCCCATTTTGCGGGCCAATTCTCTTTCACCCTCCATGGGCTGATCAGCAGGATACTCGTCTTCCCCTTCGTCGTTTTCCGCAGTCTCTTGGGACATTATTTCTCGCCGCAAAATCTGTTGGGCAACAGTATCGAGGCTGTCACAAGTCCTGATTCTCCGGACAATTTCTGGCACCTCGTCTTCGGAGGCGTTCAGGATAGCTTCGATGAGAATCTGCAGGGTGGAGTTCTGTGCCTTCATACTGTCGGCTTTCTCCCTGTAGACGCCTTTCCGACGATGATCTGAGTTGGGATCATAAACACACTCAGTGCCATAGACGCTGGCGCATGCCGCGCAGCTTGGGATTGCGCCATCACATTTCGATTTTCTCCTGCGACAGGCTACGCAAGCTGTGCTCACACATCGTCGCTTCTGGGGACCGTCGCCGCCCCTGCGGGACTTCTTCTTGGGCTGTGGCGCTGAGGAGGAATCCGGAGAGCTCGTGCTAGGGTTGGCGGATGACGCCTGAGGAAACAGATGTTGGTTGTCCATCTCGCCTCTTTAGTCGACTGGCACAGAGGACGTCAAGGTCATGGCCCAGTGTGCTGGGTCTGGTGCAGACGCGGAGCACGGAGATGTGGGAATGTGATGGGGGCGGTATCCCGGGGAATGGGGACGGTGCAGCAGGAGGAGCTGATAATGGGCAGATTACCCCACCAGATCAGGGAGGGCGGCGAGATGACGCTGCTGTGCCTTAATCGCAGTGCCGCAGAGATAAAGATGCACTGGGCGAGACCTGGGCTGGGGATCTGAATGCGACAGGCGTGGATCTGAGGGGTCGCGGAGTCTGCGGGCGGGCGCCGCAGTGGTCTAACGTAGGTAGGTAGGAAGATATCGATAAGGATAGACACCTTGCCCTGTCGTCGAGATAAAGAATCTGGCTGGCAATTGGGGCGTGCAGGGTATGCGGGATTGGCGCAGCGCAGCGTCTGATGCGCAAAGCGAAGAGATGGGCAGGGCAACCGGGGTGGCTTGGCCGGCTGATATCCGGAGAGAGTGAAGGTATTGAAGAAAGGTGACTCCAGCGGTTTGCCGAATAGCAGCTGGTGGTTGATATGTCTGGGTCTTAAAGTTCTTCAATCATAGCTGCTCGAGGAGTGACTTTTGATTTGGAGTGTACGAGAACAAGGGAGTTCTTCGAGTTGTCTACGACGGAATCAGAACATGTTCTTATGAGGGAAAAAGCTGACCAGGAAAAGGGCGTGAGGACAGGCCTTGGGATGCTGGAGGGGTTTGGTGTCTCGTGCGCCGCCCGGCTGGTTCGCGGGCTGTTCGGGCTCAGGAGATGGGGGATAATTGCATAGCAACACTGGATATTGAGATATTACGTACCTAAAACCAGGCCTTGGTGCTTGCCTTGGGAAGAAGTCTGTGTCGCTAGAACGAAACGTTTTGCGCCGGCCCCCGGTGCTGTACACTACGAATGAGTCGCGGTACTGAGCCGAAGTGTCAACTGGTGTGGGATGGTACCACAGAAGTGTGGAGGGGATGTCGTGCTGGTGGCTAGTCCATGGAAGACAGTAAGTAAGGTACGGATAGACCATGGGGGAGGGAGGGACGGAAGGCAACCGACAAATCAAGGGCCGGGTTCAGGTTGTAAAGTCGAGTGAGGGGGGCAAGGAGAGACGGGAACCAACAAAGCGGGATGAGAAATCAATCGTCTTTGACAGGTCCAGGCTTTCTTTTGACAACGGGTGGAAGCGTCGGCTTGCCTGTGGCTTGGGCCTAGACGGTGGACGATGCTAAGAATAACAGGCAGAGCGCCCCGGATCGTCAGGTGAAGGAAGTGCGGCAGCTTAGAGGTAGACTGCCAATAGGTCGTGGTTAGAGGCGTGTAAGTGTTGAGTCAAAGCTGGCTCTGGTAGAGAATCCGACGATTCGTCAGGTAGGAGACGGAAGTGTGCAGAGTGGTTTAGCAAGTGCAAAAGTGCAACAGCTATGACTCCATCAGTAAACAAACCTTGGGGTGCATTACACCACTTAGCCCTCAACCCACCTACCTAGGTACACTACGGTCCTGCTTAGAAGTTACCTACTAGGTAGTAGTAGTAGTAGTAGGTGAGTAGTAAGCCGCAGACTGGCGCCCTCCAAGGCTGCTCCAGAATATTTGGGACGATTTGATATCTCCGCGGCCCGTCAACGCACGAATGGGGAGGCGAACCGCCAAGAAGGGAACAACCATGTCTGGGCGCACTGCGGGAAGGCCTCGGTGGAGTCGTTTGGTTACAGCATCGCCAAACGCCCAGGGCTGTTGCTTCGAGAAATGGATGAATGGTTGAATTGCTGGATATCCCTGGATGATGTGTGTCCTTACAGGTGAGGACAGGATTCTCGAGGCCAGACACCGGATTTCCAAACAGCTACCATTCAGCAGGCGCTTCATGTAGTGATCTCAGCGTTGCAAGAGCTAAACTCTCGTGTGCCTTTGTCCCGCCATTGTGTTCCGTCATTGTCTGGCTCGACCGTCAACTCGGAAACTCGGCGTCTGAAATGCTGTCTGCCTTTCTGTCCTGCGACGATCTTCGTCCGACGTGCAGAGGACAGGGCAGCAGATGCTGGACGATGCAGTTTGAGATACCCGTCTATGCGAGTATCCCATGCAGAAAGTAAGGAATTCCATGTGGAAAGGCGATCCGTTGTGGGTTGTGATGTGGAATCATACATGACGAAAGGAGTTCTCCTTCTTGGCATCCAATACAGAATGAAGCAGTTGGCAGGCATCGTCAATCCAAGATCCTGTCTGCCTTCCTTGAAGTGCCAGTTGAAGTTTCAGTGCACGTTCCTTCCTCACAGCTGCACCACGGCAGGCAGGGGCTCATGTTGCTGCTCCCCCACAAACGGCAGGCGCATTGGATCCAGTGGAGCAACAACACTGAACACTGCGCCTGTGAAGTCTGAACCGCTGAAGGCATCCACTCCACGTCCACTCGCAGTGCTGCACCGTTGCAGCAACCCGTCCACCTCTCCCCACATTTACCGCCGACCTGAATCTTCATCCATGGCTGTGACAAGTTCAGTGTTCGCTCTCGCGCGACGTGTGAAGGGTTCTGCAGCCTGCCCCGCTTCGCATTTGAGGTCAGTCCAATCCCATCTGATCCAATCCAACTCAACCCATTCAACCTTGCCCGAGAGAGTTCAAACCCACCACGTCTAACTCAACCACCCGCGTCAAGCTATCAACGCCCGCCTCGGAAACCACCAGAATTGTCGCACCCGAGACCTTGCAACTCGACCGGGTTTGTGGCGCCGCAACTACGGTACTACAGTCTACAGATACCCGCAACCCCAACTGCAGCTACGACTGCGACTGCCCCCAACGGTACCTTTGCTCGGGAACTAGACGGGCTGCCTCCCGCATGACTCTACTCTAGTCTTGCGGTCAGTAATTAATGTGCGATGGCATCCGTACTGCCACTCGACCGACGTCACCGGCCGAGCTATGGCCAGCCGACAACCACTGACCCGTTTCGATCGCTAGATTAGCTTCGTCTGTTAATCCCGCCCGCCCGCGCCGCCACCGAGCTCCAAATGGCCGAGGCTCTGACCGTGATAGAGGTCGCCGCGTTCATCACCGAAGTCGTTGACCGTCTCTGCACCTACGTCTCTGCCGTGAGATCCGCCAAAGATGACATCCGTAAACTTACCCAGGAGCTCTTTGCTCTCAAAGGAGCCATGTACCAGGTTAATCTTCAGACAAGATCAGACTCATTTGAGCCATGGCAGACTCAGGTCCAATCTGTCCTCGCCTTGACCAACGAGACCCTCGACGCCATGCAAAAGAAGCTTGGAACTCCAAGCACTTCCAAAGTGGGCCAAGCCATCCAGAGCCTGACTTGGCCCTTCAAGTCGGATGATGTCGAACACTATCTGGCAACCATTGAGCGTTCCAAAACCTGGTTCATTATGATCCTGATGCGCGACTCGGTCGACACCACCGCGACTGTCTTGACGGAGATGCAGCGATTGACATCCATGGTGCGCCAAGACATCCTCGACAAGAAGACCCACCAAGAGCTCGAGGAAACTGCCGACTTGCTCAAGTGGTTGTCGCCCGTCAACAGCAAAGACAAACTGCGTGACTCTGCTGCTGACCGAGTGCCGGGGAGCGGGCAATGGATCCATGCCGGCCGGTTCTCGGCATGGGAGGAGGGCGGTCCGACCAACTGGCCTGTGTTTTGGATTGCCGGCCGGTGTAAGTTCGACCCCGAAGCCCCCGTCTGCTGTCAACCTGCCTCGACTAATGCAATCAGCGGGTTCGGGTAAAACGGTTCTTTTGTGAGTCTCTTGCTGCCAAGGTTTAGCTTGCCATCGCTTACACCTCTTCAGTTCTCACCTGGTCGAGAAGCTTCAAGAGCGGATCGACTCCGATGCCTTGGACACGACCAGCAAAGTTGGTCTGGGGTTTCACTGTTGCTCGCTGGATGATACTGCGTCTCAAGCGATACCGAATGTGTTTGGGTCCATCTTGGCTCAGATCGGAGCCGCGAGACCAGAAATCCTCGATCATGTTCGGCCGCTCAGACAGTCGGGTAACACTTTGATACCCCAGAACAACCTGTCCATCACCCAGATCCATGAGGTCATGGACCAGGCATTGGGGCTGTTCGACATTTTCTACCTCACAATTGACGCCTTGAACGAGACTAGTTACGAGGCCCTCATCATCCAGATCTTGCTTGATCTCTGCGAGAAACATACCAATCTCCGCGTCTTGGTTACTTGTACTCACGAGCCTGTTGATGCATCCCCCAAGATATATCTCAGGCAAATGAACACCGAGTCCATCCATTCGGATATCGAGCTGTACGTGAAACACAGGCTATCAAACGAACGCAGCCTTCAAACCCTGAGGCCCGAAATTCAAGAGGAGATAAGGACCAAGATCGTATCAGACGCTGATGGGACGTATGTTGCGACAGAACACCAAACTTCTATATCATGAGCTGACAGTTTCTAGGTTTCGATGGGCAAAAGTCTGCATGGACAGACTGAGTGTGCTTCGCACGCCACGGGATGTGAAGCGAGCACTCCAAGACATGCCCTCTACCCTCAACGAGACCTACGCGGCAATCTTGAACCGCATCCCACAACAAGATAAGGAAATTGCCCGCGAGGCCCTTACCTGGCTGAGCTTTTCCCAGCGTCCTTTGGGCCTCGAAGAGCTTGCGGAAGCCGTCGTCGTCGAAGAAAACGACACCGACATTGATAACGACTGCCGGCTGAACGACCCGTCCATCATTCCACAGATATGTCAAGACCTGGTCCACGTTAGCAAAAAGACCGTCACTCTCGCTCACGACTCAATACGAACTTGCTTGCAATCGGACTGGATTCGCACATCCGACGCTTCAGACTTTGCGCTCGACACCACGGAGGGCCACCGCAAAATGATGCGCAAGTGCCTTGCATACCTTAACTTCAACCCGTTCGCTTCAGGCCCAACAAACAAACAGAGGCAGATGGACAGTCGCTTCGCCAAATATCCTCTTCTCGACTACGCAGCGACCATGTGGCCAATCCACTCGGAACGATTTGCAATGGCTGAAGCCGACGAGCGTCTCATCCTCGACTTTTTCGAGACAAAGAAACACTCAAATGGCGGCCCGTTCGAATCCTGGGTGCAGTACATCATGCAGACAACCAATTTGAACGCTATCCGCAATACAGAGCCCCTGTACTACGCTGTTTCATACGGCATGACGTCCATCCTCAAGCTCCTTCTCAAACCAGAGCACAAGGTCGATGTCAACAAGAAAGGCGGACGGTTCTACTCGCCACCGCTCTTCGTTGCCGTCTGGAAGGGCAACGTCGAAGACGCCAAGTTGCTATTGAGAGCAGGTGCAAACCCGGATGCCTACGACACGATTGGGCAAACCAGCCGCCGTCTGGCCGTGTCTCGGGACATGGACGAGTTGGTAGAGCTCATCGATGAGCTGTGGCCAGACAAGGTATGGCATACCGTCGCGCTCAAGGCTGAACGGCGCAAAAAGTCTGAAAGGTGGGAGCGCTTTAAGCAAGACTCGGCCAGGCGTCGGATGGAATCTCAGCAGCTTAGGATTGAGTGGGTGGAGTCATGAAGGGTGCCTCACCTCTGGCAACCGAATAGGCCGTAGATTACATCACTCAAAAGCACGATACCCTTTTTTTGCATCAGAACAGCTGCGGGTTTTCAGTACCCGGCACCTAATCATCCTTAATACTTCCCTTTGTGCATACAATGCTGCAACACCTCACTGGAAGAAGCACTGGCCAAAGGGGGCCATTCAAGTTAATCCACAAAACCTCCTTATTGGAGACCACCCATGTTTTCTGTGCTAGAGCGACTGCATTTCCTATGGGTTCGCATATGCTCTGTCTAAGTAGTACTGTCGTTATTACACATCCGAAGACCAGGCTCGCTCCAAGCATAACAGAAAGCATCAGATTTTGGAGAACCATGTGCGAAGATGTTGCCATTGCAACCCAAGTCAGCTCCAAGTCATCGATATTTACGAGGCTATTTACATGAATCCAAACATTCGTGCATTCATCCATCCCGCCCCCATTTCTCCCGTCATCCCCCGGCAACCCGCACAACTCCCCTGGTATAAACTTGTAAAGAAGAATAAAAAAATATCGAAAAAGCCAACAAGTAGACAACGTCCTATGCCTTTCCCCCAAAGCTTATGTACTCCATCGCAATGTGTGTGATGTTTTTTTTGTGTGGCCCGCCCATATCCCGCCATACCCGATCCCCAGCGCCGCGGCCAAAATTCCCATGTCGCACCGTTTCCGTTTTCCGTATCCCGTATTCCCTCGTGATATTGCCGTCCACGCATCAAATATATCGTTTTTCATACTTGAACTATCTTCTAAGCATGAAAGGCCCTAAAGAGCGAGGCCGGTCCCGTCGCCTGTCCAGCGGTACAGCGCGAGCAGCTCGCGACGGCGCTGGTGCTGCTCGTTGAGGTCTTCGGGCACGCGGCCCCTGACTTGGGCCAGAGCACTTCGCATTACTTTACTAAAGTTGCGCTGGATGAAATGGTCAGCACATACGTTGTTAAGTAGGAAATCGCAGAAGGAAGGCCTGCTTACCTGGTACTCCGTGTTGAGCGTCACGACGCAAGCCTCATGTGCACGCACAATCGTCTCGCACGCCTTGACGACGCTGGGCGACGCCTCGAGCTGGAGCTTGTCGGCGATGAGGAGCAGGAGGAAGGACCCTTGCAGCAGGTAGATGCCAAAGAAGAAGGGCATGAACTCCAGGCCGGGGTCGAACTCGAGAATGTTGCTGATGGCCTCGGCCGCCGAGACGGCGTGGCCCGTTGCGGTGATGAAGCCCTGGGACGAGATCCAGAGGTCGTTGTCGTCGATGAGGTTGATGGGGTCCCATTTGCCAGCCAGGAGGATGTGCAGGACGTGCATGACGTGGGTGCCGTAGGCCATGACAATCTTCGTTTGGATGTCGCTCTCGGTCATGCGGTTCGAGGCATTGGTGTGGACTGAGTGGACAGACGGAGTGCCGATGTCTGCGATGGAGCCGTGCTCGCCATTTTCTGGGTTGACAAGGTCAATCTTGTCGTCCAGGTTGACATGGCGCGTGAGGTGCTGCTGCTCGAAGCGCTTGAGGCTGTGCTCGTAGGCCTCTAGGTGTCGTGTGATTTCGCTCGCCTGGTCGTCCCACTCGCGGGCGGAACGGAAGCCAACGCCGAACCTGGGGTGATTGCGGGCGTGGTGCAGGTCGACAATCTCGCCCAAGATGGTCATGAGGGGCAGGAAGTACCCGAAAATGCTATGCCCTGTGCATTCGAAATGCGGACCACGGACACGGCCGGACTGGCTGGAGGCGTCTCCGAGGCTTGGATCGGTGGTGTTGTCAAGCTGGCGGAAGTCGCCATTTTGCCAGGCAGTATCGTCCATGGGTTGCAGAAGACCAGCGCATTCGAGATCGAGGAGGAATAATGGCCTGTTGTAGCAGAGGGCCAGATGTCGATCAACGATGTAAGTCAGCCACCAGATACGTCGACGCTCTTCGCGTTCTTCTTCTGTGATGACGCCCGGGTGGCCGTTGCTGCCGATGCCATCTTCGGCCTCGCCGTCTGCGTCGATGTCGTGATTTTGGCTCATAGACATGGGAGTTGGAGGTAGTTCACGACCCAGTTTTAGCTCACGAGCCAGAGACCAGGCAGCGTTCCACCAGCGAAGACTCGCGCCCTTGTATTCGCTTGCCGATACTACCGTTGCGAGATGGATGTAGGTGATGACATCGTCCAGCGTCCCTGCAGCGCCGAACGGACCCGATTCTCCGGTGAGCGCATCCATGCTGATGGACCCGGGGAGCGCTACTCCAAGGCCGCCAAGAGCAACGCCATCAATGACTGGACTGGTGACTGGTGAGGTGTCGCCAGACGGGGTGTGGATGAGTGGCTTGAGCAAGCTCACTGTCAGTTCCAATAGCTTCTGGCAGATCTTTCCTCGAGCCGATGGGACACTGGTGAGGAATGGAGCATCGCTGGTCTGAGCAGAAACCCAGAGCATACTAGCCAACAAGGCAGGCTGACAGAACCTCGGTTTCGTGGGGTGAAGGAAAGATCGCTTCCGGAAGACGAATCCCAGCACGTATGGAGACATCGGGTGCATTTGCGCAGACGATGATGAGGCGAAGTACAGATCAATGAGATCGCATGCCAAGGAGACCGGGAGAAGACTCCCAATATGTGGCAGTAGAGGCTGCAACACTGGGTACCGTAGTTGTTGGTTAGGTTGAGTGTAGCCTGTAGGCATATGAGTTGGATACTGCGTTGGCGGCGAGGACATGGAGATCCATTCGGGAGACGTCGGTTCGCCTGCCAGCGGATAGGCACTAATCGGACTTGCTGCGATGCGAAACGGCGCGCCGTTGGCGTATGCAGTCGGACTGTGCGTCTGAATGGCGTAAGGGATGTCAGGATATGCTGAGATGTTCCCCTGATTTGGGCCGTATGCGGCATGTGAGGGGCCCGCCATCATGTGTGTTCCCAGGCTCTGTCTATCGTATCCCGGAGGCACGCCTCCGTATCCGTTGAGATCGAGAGTAGTAGGGCTTTCCAAGTGGTCCCTATCCATACCATGGTGTCCTGTCAATTGAGCTTGATGACCAGCAATATCGCCGAGACTATCAAGCGAGCCCGTCCGTTGACTCCGTTGCATGGCTTCGTCGCCGAGGTCATCAAGAGTCTTGCCGCCATGGTGTTGTTGCAAGTCATCAATAGAGGGCTGGCCAGTCTTTGAATTATTTGACTCCGACTGTTCTGAAGATTGCCCGTTGTCTTCAGATGGCGACTTTGGCCCTTGGCCGGCTGATGCTGCTGCTTGCGCGGCTGCTTGTGCGGCAAGGTCCTTCCGCGATGCCTTTCCTCTCTTCTTTCGCTCCCGAACGTATTCACACCCCAGGCCAAACTCTATGAAGGGTGTTAGTGAGGAGCTCGAGAGATGAACTGAGTTAGTCTTTCGATCCTTACCTATGCAATGGGCGCATGGGTGCTGCCCGTCACATTTCGTCCGAAGCTGGTTACACTGATCGCATGCTCGACTGATTCTTCTGCGGATGGGTCCAGAGGCACTTGGTGTTCTTGCACCGGGTCCATACGGGTATTGACGATGCTTGTGCTGGGGCCCGGCCCGGGCAAGATGCGGATTGTGTACTCCTACATGCTGTTGTATTTGCTGAAGCGCGTAATGCGAACTTGGGGCGAGTGCGTCCATCCCGGGTGTATGGGGATGACCGTTCTGGACGTGGGTGTTGGAGAAGAGCGTGTTGGGTGGCATGCCATGATATGGCGAGAAACGGTGTAGTGGGTTGGATAGCATTCTGTCCTCGTTGTGCTGGGGCCAAGCCCGCTTATGGTTGCGTAATGGGTGAATCGTGAACGATATTCAGATATGCTTGAGTTTCTGTTGTTCATGCGTAGTTGAAATCGAGCTGAGAGCGGCTGAAAGCAAGTCTAGGAATCGTCTAGGTTTCGATGGCTGGACGTCGTCGTTGGGGTGGACTAGGGAATGGCGAGTAACATATATCTAGAGGCAGACTCAAAAGCGAGAGCCTTTCTACGCAGCTCAGTTAGCGGCACATAAACGAGCCGGGAGTGCGTCAGGGGGCAAATCAAGGAGACAGGCGGGCATTGAGTAAAGTAATATGGTCCAAAATAAGGGGCACGACCACCAGAGAGACCACCAGTACCACCGTTGGAGTATGGCACAGCTAGCACATTGGCATGGCGGGGTTGATGCGTGCCAGGCCGACTTGCCTGGACGGGAGAGATGGAAGGGGGGTGTGGAAAAGTCACCGCGAGTGTGGGAAGCCTGGTGTACTTCTGACCGAATCGAAGCGCAACTCACCTTACACCTTGGTTGTCTTCCGCTATGATTCGTTGAAGAGTCGTCTTCGGTGGCTTTAGACACGAAGACGACTTTTGGTGAATCGTAAGTCGAACCTTTTGCGTTCCACTTCTTCGGGTTCGAATACTGCGACAGCGACGATGCGGTCTCTGTCGTGAGCTGTTGCCGATGCAATGATCTAAGCTGCTGCGAAGACTGTAGCTGTACGATTGCGAGAAGGCGACCGACTCGATGAATGTTTCAACTAGAACCCCCCTTGTCGTTTCCGCCTCTCTGATTGCCAGTCTTCTTTCGAATGGTCGTAGATAGAAACTTGGCATGTATACGAGAAAGCGCTCGAGGCCGAGGTGAAGATGTGGGCGAGTTCAGACGGCACGGTTATCGTCCCGTGCGACCCTCGCATTGGCAAAGTAATAAACACGCGGGACGAAAGGGCAAGAGGTGGAGGAGCTGGGGTGACTAGGAAAGGTAGAAGATCTGTCTACACGCGAGAACAGACAGCGAAAAAGAAAGGAAAACGTTCGGCGACGCATCTACATTGAGACGTCTCTACGGCGCGTCTGGTTCTCGAAGGGGGGAAGAAGCGAGAAGGTCACATTCAGGATCCTCGGGCTTAGGTATTATATGGTACGCTTGTACATAATAGCTGTGAGGGACGGGGCAGGGTTGCAGTGAGGGGAGCAGGGGTCTAGCTCACGATGGGCGATGGTAAGGTGAGGAGCAACGAACAGCAGCCACAGGAAAACTGGCGAAGGCGGCCATTTACGGGTGTGTGGTGGAGAAGAGCGGCATCTTGGGCGAGGGACAGGGCCACATGCTCAAAGTTGCTGTGCCGGTCTAGAACTAAAAGTTTTCCACCCCCAGGCTGATCTTGTCGAGCTCTAGTCGACTGAGATGTGTGGCACAGGCCCAGCATATTCTGGTCGATCCTCAGACGAGATGAAGCTGGGCTCAGCCGGTGAGCGTGACGGACGGGGATGCAGCTGCAGAAGCGATGAAGGCAGCGAAGGAAGCCATCGAGGTGGCGGTGACAGACGACGTAGCGGACGGGATGGCTAGTGTCATGTCATCAAAGCTTTTCCCATCCACCGGGACGGGTTTCTCCCCACCGTTCCTCTTGTCTCTCGTGCTCTCCTCCCCGACGGCCTCGGTCGTCTCCTCCGCGCCTCGGGACAACCCCCGTAGCCACGACACTTGCTCCTTGGGTCAGGCAGGTTGGAGGCCGAAAGTAGACGGTAGCGTGGTGCTATGTAGGGGTGGCGCGGCACACACACTGGGGGGTGCCAATCTCGAGAGATGGGGAATCGTCTTTTCGAGTCTGCTTCTCCAGCTTCAAGGCTTGTCTCCAGACCTCCAGAACTCCACCCGCTCCGGCCCCAAGTGGGTTGGAGGGAGGCCCGGTGTCGTTGGACTGTGCCATCCCAGCCAATAATACCATTCGGCTTGGCGGAAGGGTTCTTGGCTTCTTCTCTTTCGGTTCGACTACCGCCGAACAGACATGACCGTCGTTCTTCTGAAGTTCTGCTCCATCCTTCTTCGTCCGTTGTCCGGCACTGTTGGTCCTTCCACTCAGGCGCAGCCTCGTTCTGTCGTAGGTAATGCTCGGTACCGACCAGCGCTCGCCAGACACGGCGACGGGTTGGCCCTATAGCGAAGTCTGTTATAATGTTTGCCGGGATTTGTGCTTCCTTCCCATTACCGCAAACGGCAAGCATGACCAGGATTCGAGCCGCTGTGGAGCAAGGACGAGCATTGGAGCGCGATGTGGCCGTTGTGGTGCCTCTCTCTGCGCCGGACAGCGGGCGAAGTTGCGGAGACGAGCTTCCTTTTCAACACTCGTGGGCCGCTTCGAGCTGCATTGGCGTTGCGCTCGGGCGCCGTACCGCGCTGCTGTGACGAGCGGTTGACATAGGAGATCAGACAATAAGAGCTTCTCTCGGCTCGAGTATTTTGTTCTGGAAGGCGTGGGAAGAGGAGGGCGTTCTGAGGTGGTGTGAAGAGCAGAATATGGGGGAGTGAAGTGAGGGCGTCCCTGCAAGAACCCCAGATTTCGTACTGCGTGCCCAAGGTAGGCTGCATTGACTGAACCTAATTCAAAAGAGAGCCAAGCAGGCGGAGACGAACGAACGCCTTGCACGGGTACGGCGCACCATGTCTGCCGCAGACTCGCAGACTCGCAGAGGAAGAACCGGGCCTGTCAGAAAGGTGCGGATGGCGCGTCGCCTAGCGGGATGGCTTTACTGACGCACAAGCGGCGTTGCGGGCGTGGGCGCGAGGGATTTGAGCGTCAGTATGCGCCACGAATGTACCGTAGACGGTGGTGTTGATGCCCTCCCAAGGCAGGTAATCTGCACTCTCTTGGGGCCCGCTGCAGGTGGTTGTTGGTCTGCCGGTACATGCCAGTACAAATTCTGCGAGCTAGGTAGGTAGGTAGGTAGGTAGACGAGCAACGACGACAGGGATTGTGGTGGTTGGTGTGGTAGAGAATGCGGAGAGAAGCCATGTCGAATCCGATGGCGAGGTTGGGCTGCGATGAATGGGCATGAGATGGGACGGCTCTGGTCAGGTTGGAGAAGTGGAAGTTCCAGTCAGCCCAGGTCGTGGTCGTAATTGCTGACGCGAACCTAAGGTACCTGACTCTGCAGCAGCTGTTTTTCAGGGAGTTTGCTCGCATGGGCGTAGGTTATTGCCCCTAAGGATACAGGATACGCGGCGACGGCGATCTCCAGCGCTGTAAGACGAGCATTTGCTCGGGCTTGCTTTTAGTGACCGAATGACTTCGTTATTCTCTGGGAGGTACTTGCGAAGATTGATCCATGCAACCTGCCTAGGTCTACGGTAGTAAGTAAGTGAGGTGCACGCACTTCACTCAGACTGCAGGAACCACCGGTTGCCATCAGGGTCTCCCCCCTTCCTTCCTCCATTCTTGCTTCCTTCCCCCTTCTACGTCCATCCCAGTTGCCTACGTAATTACCTTAGATGCCTACACGTAGCTTTCCTCTGTCAGGAGCGAGGGAACTCGCAATGGGAAGGTACAACCCCCGACCGGAAAGCATTCCCTGTCCATTTGCAGAGACCTCTGCCAAGTTGACATCTCTGAGGTGAGCTTCAAACACAACATCACCACTCTGGCCTAAACGCTGACTATCACCCAGCCTGACGCCCTTAACCGCATCAACCAGTCTCTGTTCAAGTCTGAGATTCTCGCTGACGCCCGCCGGAAGGCAAATGACGTGGAGCCCGACTGTTAAATGATGACCCGGAGAGGACGAGGTCGGGCAATTTCCAAAAAAGCAAAACTTCAGCTCCGGTTCCGCAGTCGAATGCCGGCAACTTCACCAGGATTCCCTACTCGCTTGAGCTCCGACAGAGATCAAGAGACCCAGCAGCAGCACCCAGCGACCAGCCACACTTTCAACCCATCATCCCCAGAAACCCAAATTGGCGGGGGCAGCCTGAGGGTGTCGACTTAATATCAGCAAAAGCAGCTGTAAGGGGCATCTCGCCCTGGCAGATGCTCACAGATCGAAATAAGGGACCAAGTACTGCCGACTATTTCCTGCCTAGCCCTGCACTAATACTCTTACCCAGAAGCCTGATGACGCTGGCCGGGATGCACCTCGATGACTATGAACTGGCTACAGCAGTCTTGATCGAAACCGACATACCGCGTCTTCGTACGCACTTTAAGCTTCGACAAGCTTTTCCTCGTTCAACAGGAATGGACGACAATCTACGTACTGAGAGTCTTCAGCTGGCCAGACCAAAGTGACAGCATGTACTGGGAGGTATCATCTGCCTGCTGTCTTCGCTGCTCGATCCGCACGCACCCTCTGAGCAGGCGTTCCAGCGGTTGCGACCCAACCAAACACTTGCGCAGTCACCCTACGATTGACGTGTTTCGAGCCGCGAGCGTGTGAAGAAGCCGCCTTTGCGATCCGGCCCACTCAGCGTCCTCCAACTCTTTCTTCTCCGCACATGCGGAGCAAAGGATGTCTCCGCCTCCTCACCTCCTCACCTCCCACACCTCGTCGAGTCATCCCTCAGTCCGCCCCCAAAAGGTCCCATTCGGTCCTTTCCGAGATTCGTACGAAGGAGCATAGTATACCAAGCCCAAGTCGTCAGTCGGCGGTCATCTTGTCTCTTCAATCCGCCATGCCTATGCGTGCTACGAAAGACAGGCTTCTAGGCTCTGTGACAAGTACTCGCCTGCTCCAACACTTCAGAGCGTGAGGCTGGGTCATTCCGCCTTCACAGATGCTACCAGGAGATCCCTGCTTGCTCATGGCTGTCGATTCTGAGGGGTTATTTACCAGGTACCAACAACACCCTAACTGAGGCCGACGCTCCTTGCCGTCATCGGCCTGGGGCACTCAGAATAACGGGAGGACGAAGAGCTAAGTGACAGAGTGCGGGTGGGGCTTCTAGAGGACTTTTGCAGCCATGGCTTCATGCCGCCTCCATCGACCTCG